CACACACACACACACACACACACACCTCCAGCTGCTCGAGCAACCCAACAGGCAGAGTTTGTTTACTGGTGGGGAGCCGGGGTGGGCCGGCGCTGACCAGGATGAGTTAGGTTTGAGCTGAAAGGAGTTTCTGTGCGCCTACACTGGAAATATATTTTTCTCTGTCTCGTAGTCGCTGCCGATGATCAGCATGAATGATGGGACTGGTGCATTGCAACACAGGAATATGGTTGCTTGCATACTAAAAAGCAGCCAGGCTTTTTGTCTGTCTCTAAAAGCTAAATTTGGATCCATCCTGAAAAGCAGCACAGAGAGGATTATGCACACTTTGGTCTCTTCTCACCTCAGCTACTGCAGAGTGTTGTTTACGCCTTTATCAGAAAGAGGTGAAACTAAGAAGAAGAACCATATCTCCTATTTTAACATCTCTCTGATGGATGTTAGGTGCTTTAGAGGTGCAAGAACATCAATTTTTGGGTCTCATCCTGTAAAATGTACACGGATACGGTAATCAAGAGGTAATAAGGAACTGTTTAGTAAGTATGTGCCACATACTTGGGGTGCAGGAAAAGAGTAACTAATGATTAAGTAAGGAGTAATTAATGAATCGTTGGCAGCTTGTGTCACTCAGTGGCTGTTCAGAGTTAACTACCCAAGAAGAAAGTGGTCGTTTTTCCTATGAGCTCATCATTACCAGATGATTTATTATTATCTCCCGGTCTGTTCTCAAGTAACTCATCATTTTCTATTCAATCGTCGAATCACAGTTATTCAGGAAGAATTCAGGAACTGCTCGTTAATAATTAATTCTCAGGTTGTTCCTGATTGGTTCCTTAGCACTCTGAACCCCGAGCAGTTTGGGGCGTTTTTCGCTCCTCTCGGCGGCCTTGTTTTTCACTGCAATGCATAAATCCTCCACCTCTATGTGAACAGCACATTCATGGCTCGAAGCTGAGCGAACTCAAAAATGTAGTTTGTGCAGTATTACACAGTCACCAGGTCATAAATCATAAAAAAAAGAATTTCGTTCATAATTTATTTTACAAAAATTGGAAAACAATGGAATCTATCAACATTTCTCTAAGTGCCTACAAGTGTTACCAATGTTGGCTCTGCGCGCTATATTCATTCAACTATTTACATTTTTACAGCCTCTACTGACAGCCTCTCCTGTCCTTAATACGGGTTAATAACTACTCACATGTTTGTGTTTTAAAGTAAAGTAAACGGAACATCACTCAGGATCAGATAAGTGAGATACGCCTCATCAATATATTGTCATTTAATGATCATTTCCAAATCCTCCGTAGAGAGTAGAGAGAGCGTAATGCCAGTGTGTGACACACACACACACACACACACACACACGTATCTGATATAAAAAGGCTAAGATGAAACCATAATGTGTGTGGGGAGTTCTTCAGGGCGGCGTGGGGGGGAGAGTGTCAGTGATTTAAAACAATGAGATGTTTTCAAGTTAATTGGAAGCCGACGCAGGATGTCCCTGCCTTGTTCTGCCTCCCTCGTTCACGGTCTCCTGCGACACCTGGCCGCTTTGTGGAGCTGCGTGCGAAGGTTTCTGTGCTTTGCTGCAGTTAAAAAGACCCTAAGTGAAGGCTTTTCCCCGGAGCCCCCGAGAGAGGTCAGCGTAGGTTTTCACCTCGAGTATACGAGGAAAGAATTCCAATTCACATTTCTGTCCTCGCTTTCACTGTGAACCCACCGGGGCTGCGTACTTCAAAATGCACTAATGGGACATCTATGACGACTCATTCCTGTATTTATAGCTACAAATGTGTTTATTGTGTGGATCGTTGTGGTTCAACATGGTCTGTGCACTTGGAGAGGATGACATCATGAGTTTCAGTTATGTCCAGAGAGTTGATCTCAGTTTGAAAAGAATATATCTATATTTGCATTACACATTTAGAGAACACGTGTTTCTGGAGAAGCTGCTCCCAAATGATCACTCATCACTTGGTGCATCTCTATAGATCTGATGTGATTGGCTATGATTGATACCAGACACTAACAAGTATGATCAAATGGTTGTTCTTAAACTGGGATGCTTTGCACATTTGTTGCATTTAAATGTTTGATGTGATGTGGCAGCCTGACTGCACTTTAACAAACTGAATATATGAGGAGGTCGAAAACAATGTCTGGAGGTAACAAAAACCAAAAAAGTCAGATATTGCGCAAGGATTCTTCCTCACCCACTGACAGCTCAGATGCACCCAATGCTGCCACTGATGATCAGAAGATATGTATACAATAGTGTCGTGTCCACCAGCTACCAGGACACTAAGACTCTCCACTAAACGCAGGGACGAATACAGAGAGCTTCTTAGAAAGTCTTGTTTTCATGTTCAACGGTGGGCTTATGAACAACATTAACTCTGAACTAACAGCGTACTTCCTCTCTTTGACTGAAAACAGTAAACGGCTTCTCTTCTGACTCCACGTCACATAACAACGGTCCGTCCTCTTCCAGTGGTTGGTCCCATTAAACCAGTGAAATCAGAGGAATTCTCTGCCATTTTTTCATCCTGCCGTTGTTCAGCACACACACGAAGGTAGAAAGGCCTCCTGACAGCTTCCTCGCTATTAGCAGAGCCGTTGCTGTGGTGACCATTTCATTATATTCTGGTCCAAAGTTTTGTCTAATCATTCTTCATCACAAACATCCACTGACATTCATTGAATACTTTCTGCGCGTGGGCACGCCATTAGGGCCGCACCGAGGTCACTTTGCTCATGCTTCATTGTGTGTCGTAGACGTTGCGAGAGGAAGTGAATAGAGGGAATGTCTCATTGTCGTCACATCTGAATGGCTGGAATAAAGTTTCTCAACCAGCAGATTACATAACATGTTTTACGCCTGAATACCAACGCTGCCAAAGCTGGGAGGATTCCTGTTTTCCGATGTTTCGATAATTGCTTCGGGATGTCGGTAGTCAGGTGAAAGAGAAATGTCCTTGTTAAGCCGTGTTTTTACCTTTTCTCCGTCTTCTTTCCAGCTTGTTCTTCATCTGTCCGATCCGTCCGCACCCCCCTGCTGGGTCTCATTTCCATGTTGGTGCTGAGAGACACTCACCTCCACTTAACACTGTAATCAGTCTCCTCCGGCTCAACAGACAGTCGAGTGCTGCAGTTCATGTGTTCTCCCTCTGCCTCTCACCTTGCATCCTTTCTTTCCTCCCTCTTACGTTTATTCCTTGCTCATAGTTAATGAGCCTTTTCAGTATTGATAATAGGGACGGGCATTTTGCATTAGTTCCACATTCAAGTTCGGTGCATTCTATTATTATACAGATGCAATATGTAGAAATGTATGTAAAAAAAAAATAAATAAAAAAAATCGAATGTAAGAGTAGGGTTGGAAACACCCAAGCCAAAATGGGTTTATAATTAACTAGGCTCTGCAGCCGCATTAATTGTATTTTGAATTGTATTTGTATTCATTAATAACTGAATCAAGACGTGTTTTTGTGAGTGTGTGTGGTGCGGTTTCTTGATGAGCCTTTGTTCCTCATCCTGAGCCTCGATCTTGAGTTGATCACATCCACTCTACGCTTTTTGAAACAGATGATGAAATAAAAGGCAAAGATTGTGAACGCATCCACGCATATGCAGAGAAACAGATGCATGTTCAATCAAATTGAATCATGCAAGGTCTCTCCTGCAACATCTTTGCTGCAAAGGGCTTCGCAGAAAACAATGGATCCGTCCTCGCTAAAGGCTGGGGTTGGTAATCTTCTTCAGAACCATTTCTGTTTTATTTTTTTAAATCCTCATTACATCCTGACAGCAATCAAAGAATCAAAGGATCTGACAAAAATAATAGAGAATACAATCCTGTGTCTGTGGCTGCAGATCTGTAATCAGCTCATTCATCCTGAATGTAATGATTGGAGTCTTCCACGAGCTGCTCGCTCCATCAACTCTGGGATGTTTAGAGAGATCTATAGACTTTTATTTCCCTTTACAAACAGTGACATTGGGAAAACCCATTGCACAAAACCAATGTTTACACCTATTCCTAAGTCATCAATGGTGCTGCATTGACTGGGTGCTGCAGTCACTGCTGGGTGCATGTGACAGGAGCTCGTTGGCAGTAAATTAGACTTTTAGTTTCTTCCCTTTCCTCCATCTTCAAGGACGGTTGATTGACTTGTTTTTTCTGATGAGACTAAAAAAAACTAAGTCCTCTGTAATCTATGCTCCACTGAAACAAACACAAGCTTAAAGATCATGGTTTTTCAGCATTTAGTTTGCCAAGAGCTGCAGAGAGCAACTCAAAGCCTATAGAACATCCATTTTAACTTAATTTCGGCCAACGATTTTTCCAGCTAATTAGTGTTCCTCCCAAATGAGACACATTGTTCTGCTATAAAGGCCAAGAGCCGCCAAGACTGGGAGTTATGCAATGCTCTGTGCTAACTCACTGAAATAAATGTCTTGACCTCACTTCCCTTTTAGTTAGACACTTTTCTCCAACTGCTTCTCTCCTGTGTGCTGGTATTTCACTTTTCAAAATGGGCCGTTATTGACATTCACTGAGAGAATAAGCAAAAATGACAAGCATTGTACCTCCGACTGAAATCATGTCTGCATTTGCAGAGTGGTTTCATGTTTCAACAGTAAAAACAAAAGCTTAAAGGTACAACGTGTAAGATTTGGCAAGAAGTTTAGTTCAAAGCATTCAGAATGTGACAAAGTAGCAGTGCTGGCGTTATGTCAAAGACGTCTATGTGTTACGTTTCATTGATATTTAGTCCTGTCTTGTAATATCACTGAGGTGATAGTGAGTCACTGTAGCGTCCATGTCTGTCCTCAGTCCAGCATGAGTTGGAGCACGTGGCTACATCTTACACACTGCACCTTTTTTAAAAGTTTCAGAATTTTTAACACATTTGCAACCTGAAACATTTCAGTATTCCTGGTGGCAGTATTAGCGGGGGCACACACACACACACACACACACACACACACACACACACACACACTCGTTTAGGGTTTCCATAGCTCTAAATGAGTCCTGAGCAGAGCTGATGAATACTGCTCGTATTGATTGTGAGTGGGTTCTGCCAGATGCCCTTTCACTGAGTAGAGACCGCAGGACCTTAACGGAGCTAAACACTGAGGTTAAATGCATGCTTTAATCAGAACCTTCCCGATTAACTGAGCCCTGCACTCTATTGGGAGTTTTTAACTTCACATTGCAGTGACTGGTGGGAGTAGAACATGGGGTCAGTGTTTGTTGGGCTACAATACAAAACAGGTTTTTTTAACACCGGATGCAAAAACACGGTGCTGTGTGAGCGTGCGAGGTCTGAGCGGTGACAATAGGCCTGCGTGACGGATCACGAGGCTCTTCTCCGACTCCCCTCATGGCTGTGCAGAGTCTTCTTGATTTGAGTGTGTCAGCACTTTACTTTGAAGATGAACCAGCATCCATCTCATGACGTATGAGACCCCAAAGAAAGACTTGCCTCTCTGGAGAGCCTCTGTTCTGAGGAGGCTATTTAGAGCTGTTTTCCAACGCTCACAACGCTGAGGATCCTCGTCGGCTGATTCTACATCGGTCTCCAAATGTTTGAGTCAAAACAAATATACAAAAGTTTTTGTTTTTATTGTGGGCCAATGGTTGTGAGTTGCTATTGATTGTATGAAACTAAACCCCCTACCTTCAACAGGCTGTATTCAGAAATGAGACTGTAACCTACTTCAAATGAATACATGAAAAAAAACAGAAATGTCATATTACCTTTATATTATCCACATGGTTTCCCACTGTTTGAGGTTTTAATTTCCTCATCTTCTTTGTACGGACACATGTCTTTAGTTTTAGAGATCGCAGCCTCTAAGGCCCTCTCTTGTCGCCCCACGAATGAGAGAAAAGATACGCTGTTTCAGAGGAGCTGATTGAGTTACAGGGCAATTAGTTTTTATGTTCTTTGGTGCACGCATAATAGATTTTGAGAGTCTCGCAGATGTGATCCTCTCGCTGCCTCGCTCTGTCTCACCAGGATCTGCAGCGGCACTGCACCCCTGGAGTGTTTTGCTCAAGGACACTTCAGCACGGGGACTCTTGCAGGGGTCTCGCAACAAAAAGGCGGTGGAGAGAGAGAGAGAAAGAATTAGGCTCATGTTCAAACCAGCATGTGAACGGAGGAGGCCTTGGATCCAGGTTCTTGTGGGGAGCGAGCACACAGCAGGCTTCTCAGAGCAATAGCCCCCTGTGGAGTTTCAGATGGGGCTGTCCACACGCCACGGATACATGCATGCATCGGGGAGGTTTGAAGCACACATCCGTGAGAGCTCACCGTTAATGACCTGCAGTACGGAACAATGAGCACGACTCTCCTTTATGTCCCCTCTGCTTCGTTGTCCCACTGTAAAGCTGCTGCTGTACCAGGACCCGGAGCATTGTGTGATTCTCCACAGCTACCCTGAGAGAGTCGATGCTGAGAGCCTGTCGCCGCCAAGCCTCAGACATCATTTATTGTTGATTCAGCAGATATGAGGTGGGTGGAGCGAGGAGGACAGAAAGAGACAGAGAGTGAGAGAAAGTCAGTCATAAGACCTGTTCAGAAAGAGAAATACAGCAGCGAGAGCGTGGAGAAGAGGATAGAAAGTTAAATATATCAGTGAAACAGAACAGCGATGTTGAACAGACAGTGAAAGAATGATGGAGTTGAGGTTGGGCATGAGGTTGTGTGGGACTCGTATAGCCTCAAAGCTTTGCCTTGTAGCAACACGCTCCCTGCTTCCTGCAGGCTGTTGTGCCAGAGGCAGAAACATCTCCATGTTGTCCTTCATCCGCAATGTTTCCAGTCACCCTGCCCCCGATGTGAGGCGGGGGCAACTCTCCAGGGACGCAGCTGGCTGCACTCTGTCAAAACACACCGTGCCAGAGAGGAGAAGATGGAGAGTGGCTTTTCAAAGTCAACAGTAGTCAGTCAGACAGATCTGCAGAGCGCAAACACTCTGAAGGTGAAAGTCTCGCATACATTAAAGCTCCGTTAAGTGGGTTTGAATCCACCTGCTTTTATTCACATTTTTTATTTGCACGTAAGAAAAACTTTGGAAAGTTAAAATATCTCAAAAAGAGTTTTTACGAGATTGTCGTCGCAAGACAAAGCAGCAGCATCGGTCATTTCAGTCGGTGCCTCAAAGCGACACATGTTTATCCAAGTGAGGAAGCCCTCTAACTGCTACAGTAATTGTGGCGGAAGAAAGGGAAGTAATCGTAAACAAGTGTTTTCTTTAATCGTCACCATGATGACGAAGCTCCCCTAAGCTTAAGGAAAGAGTCATTATAACCAAAACCTTGATGTTTGGTTGAACCTAGCCAAGTCATTTCTGTACACAAACAAATTCATTTTTCACTCAGTGATTTGCGCTTCTGTCCCACTTCCAATTCCTCTCTTTTGGTTTGTCATATTAAACCATTTGTTCCAGTATGTGTCAGATGAAACCATGACTGCATGACTGTTCAGGCTACATTTTCCACTAAGCCTGAACAGATTGCTTGTAATTGGACCTGAAGATTCTTTCCTCGGAGTAGAAAAACATTTTGCATCTTGTGTTTCATTATCCCTAAAACATTTCCCACAGGCCTAAATAATGTAAAAATCAATATTTCACGCCGTCTTCAGACTGTTACAGTAGGACGTCTTTATTTAATTCAGAAAGACATCAGCACAATTCATTGTGTTCAATTTGAACCTTTTTTTTAATGCACACAGAAACACTGCTTGGTTGAGGAAGCTGTTTCTCCAGTTGTCTCTGGCAGAGGCGATATTGTTTGTATTGATATGCATCATTGCGATGGTTGAATCTCAATACGCTGGGATCCATATTACAGTGTGTGCAGCAGAGCCAGAACCTGTTTGGCAGTCAGAGAGAAGTGCTGGCAGGAATAAAGACATCCATCACACCGCCGCCCTGGACCCAACGAGAACTGACGGTGTCAATGGCACCACCATGGCCGCCATCAATCTCCCCCTTCAATGCAACACTCTCTTTACAGTCGTGAAAATACAGTGAATGCATGCAGGGACTATCATCCAGCAGAGTGAGTCAGTTCTAGAAGTGGGCTGTATTTTGAAGGAGGAGAAATCAAGCTGATGTGTCAAGAAGACAAAATAATTGCAGATCGTAATGTCAAGTTATCACATCATTACCACTGTCCAGCGCTAACACCTCCAAACCGGCCTCTCTGCTCAACCCCTGAGTGTGTATCCAGCTGATGCACAGTTAAACTCTAATCCTCTCCAATAAATGCATATTTGGAGGAAATATGGCGAAGCAGTGAGCTCAGTTTGAGGAGCCGCAAACGTTTTCCTGCAGTACTGCCCACACACAAGTTTCAAAGGGAGACTTGTAGTTGGGTTTATTCATTTATAAATAATATTAAGCAATTGCGGGAGAAGTTTAGCAAAGTAATGTTGTGTATATTAATGCAGATCTTTGAGAGGACTCCAGAATACCTAATAACTGTCTGAATGGAAACATGATGGGAGCATGTTAGCTTACTTTGAATGAACATCCCACCCTGAAATACACCGTGATTCAAACGCTTCACATTTTAGAACAACGCCCGACTGTACGTGCTCTTTGTGTTTTTAAAATGCTTACCAGAAAGCTGAGTGAGCTCTGATGAACCACAGGCTTCCATCAACAGCAGGACGAACTAGTCCGTGGACCAAACACAAGCCTGAGCAGACTCTTTACTGATGCTGACCGGTATCATTCATGCAGTGATAACAGCAGAAGTCAGAAAGGACAGTGTGTGTGTGTGTGTGTGTGTGTGTGTGTGTGTGTGTGTGTATGTGTTGGAATAACATGGCGGTCTCCCATCAAGGTCACCTCTGCTCTGTAGATGATGAAATGCACTTCTGCACAGCCTGAAGACATATTTTGTTTGTAAAAATGTGGCAGAGCTGAAAGTGACTGGGAGCAGTATGCAGATATGAGCAGACCGTTCTCCTGCTGGTCTTCAGCAGCTCTTAGTGGTCACAGTGAAGGCCTGCAGGATGCTGCACTGAGTCGCATACTCGCATCTGCAATTTATATACAAATGCAACCACGTTCTCAGTGTTAAAATACGTGTGCATTTGTGACAACAGGAGCTGGAATTCCCATTGCAGTCTGTGATATTGACATTGTACATATTGCTTGTGATATTGTGGGAAATATACATGTGTTGAGTGACTGATTCTCCAGAGGAACCACATAGCCTAAAGCTTTTAATTTGATGATGAAACGCATACTCAACGATTACAATACTTGTTATGAGATTAATCTACAACTGTCCAACCACAGTAGATCCAGTGCAGGATTAATATCTCAACCTGTAGCCATAATTAATCTGACTTTCCCTATTGTTGTGTATTCCTCCCCAAATTGCCCAAAGACTTGGTCATATATAAATCATCTTTAACGCTCTGCAGTTACTAAGATCTTAGTTTGTGTCCTCTAAATGATTCACTCAGCGTTGGAGGAGCAGATGAATAAGTACGGGGTGTAAGGTGGTAGGTGGTGTTGTCAAAACACTGAATGCTTTGATACAGTATATCTAATTAGAGTTTGGACCACGACTCTGGAGGAATCGCTGCAGTTCAGCAAAGAATAAACACATTAAATGCTCGATTCCTGAGGAAGTAACAGCCATTTCCTGCTTAGTCAAGCAGCACAAGGAGTGGGTATGATAAGACGAGGAGCCACCCCCCCTTCACCACCACTAATGCCTGAAACACCACCCACTCCACCTCTCCCTTCCTACGGCCCTCCCTCATCCTTCTGACTGGCCCTTCTGGCCTCCGTCTTGTCGGCCCCGCAGCTGTATTTGAATCTTACAGCAGTGAACCACTGTCACTCAGGATGGACTCCAGACCCCCCAACCTGCCGCTGCTGCTTCTCACCTGCCTCCTGCACTTCTGTAAGGACCCCAATGTTGTGCTGCTTCCAGGATAATCAATGTCTCCTTCAGTTAAACCAAATCTTCAGACTCTCACTTCTGTTTCTCTCTCTTTTCCTCCAAACACAGGGCAGAGTGCCAGAGGACAGTCATGTAAGTAGAACTGCATTGTGTATATTCGACTCTTGTTAAGTAAGTTGTCTAAATGATTCTAGTTCCTCCAGTGTCGAGACAGTTTCAGGTTATCCAGTCCTCGCTATAGAGAAGAAAGCTATTTTTACCTCGCAGTTATTTTTGGCAAGATGGGCAATGTATCCTGCTCTCCTGGCCTCCTTCATATTTCAAAGTCTTTCGTGAGATTCACTGAAGATATTTTCAGTTGCTCAGGTTGAAGCTGGGTAATCTTTCAAATCAGTTTGAATGAACCTCACACATTCTGAATGGCTTTCAAACAACATGTGTTTGATTCAAAATGCTTGTTTGGTTTTTTGGGATAGTTTGACATTTTGGGAAACACACTTCTTGCAGAGAGTTAGATGAATAGATTGATACGTGTGTCTGCTCAATAAACGGCAACAGCCAGCGGGCCATTAGCTTAGCTTAGCATGAAGCCTGAAAAAGTGGGGGGGGGGGGAACAGATAGCTCAGCCTGTTCTCATTTCCAGGGCGTCAAACACCGACGCTTTGTGCCCCTCAGCCTCTGATACAGACACACAAGGCAACCATTAGCGTCTGTGTGAGATGCACCGGGCTTTCAAGTGACTACAGTGTAAACGCATCCACTTCATTATTAGACACTTTGAAAATGTGCGTGATGATGTATGTATGAAGACTGAAAAAACCCTGCACGGTGGGTGGAAGTGGAGGCTGAGGGGTCAAACAAACACGAGACTTAACACTTAGGAGACCAGTGTTCACTTTGTTCCCAACGTGTTTGTGACGTGTTTACTTATGTTACGCTGTTGACATCTTACTTAGTTTGTATAGTTATTTTAAGCCCAACCATGATGTTTATTCCTAAACAGTACTCAGTGGTTTTGCTGCCTAAACCTAAGCAAGGGTTTTTGTTTAAATTCAAAACTTTAACTGTGTTTACTGCAACCGTACAACCGTTAGCCTACCAGCACCTCTCAAGCTCACTAATGAACCTAAAGTCTGTGGCTTTATATTTAGCGTAGAGTGGTATCAATGTTCTCCTCTAGCTCTACATATGTATTTCCACAGCGTACCAGTTGGTCATTTACTGCCTCAGTCACTCTCCATCACTGAGCCCACACTAACCCGCAGTACTTTGAGGATGTGGACTAAGTGTTTGTTGAGGCAGGTTACACAGTGCTGTTGCTGCAGAGGGAGAGCAGAAGCTGGGATAAATCAACACAGCTGTCCCAGTGGTGGTGGGGGGGGGAGGGGGTGGAGGTGGAGGGGGAGGGGGGGGTTGAAGCCCTTTCCTTTTCCTTCAGCAGCTCCTGCTTTCTAAACAGCAGACTGGAGGCCAGGGAGTGCCGTCCTTCAGACTTCACCTTTATTATTATGGAGAGAATAACAGACCCTGTCTGGTAGATTGTGTTACTTTGCTCAGTCCCTGATGTTGATTTTTACACAAACAAGACAATTATTTCTTTCTCATGCATGTTTGTGTGTCTGTCTGTATGTGTGTGTTTGTTTGTGTGTGTGACATTTGGACCTACAGCGTACACTATAGACACCGTTGACCTTACACTCCTACCCAGCAGCACAGTTCAGAGCGGGACACCGGTGACCCTGTGCTGCCAGGTCAGAGTCAGTCATGACAACATCCCTCACCTGAAACACGCTTTCCAGCTCAGACAGGACGACATCCTCTTCTACTCCTCTACCACCAAAGAAGACTCGATCACATATAAACTCGACCCGGCCAGGGCAGCTGACTCTGGAAGTTATGAGTGTCGAGTCACAGTCGAGGACAAGAGCAAATCCAGCTCCGGCAAAAAACTCGTAGTCGCAGGTAGAGCTCCATATTGCTACAATAGATTATTTGTTTTTATTTGATTACATTTGTTTGTTGTTATTGCTCTTGTCTGACAAGATAGTATAACATGAACAAATGTGATAATAAAGCTGAAATTCTTCCATATATCAGCATGTTTGGGGATGAAAAATCAACATAAACTCGTTGGACAAAACTAGTGGTATTTTGTTTTTTTCTTCAATTGATGAATTATTCACAATACTGTCAGCCATTTTCCACAGCACGACAGATTTCAGACTGACGTTCCGCCTTCTGCAGTATAAGAAAAAACATTTTCAGACTTTCTTGAGTTAACAGTGAAGATTCTGGCTGCGTTGTCATTTTGTAAAAAGTTATGCCGCAACTCTTAAAATACACCCTTGGTGTTGTGTTCAAGGAATAGGACGTCTGAAAAGGATAAAGAATAAGCAAACATACTATAGATGCAGTAAAAATAATAATTAGAGTTTTTCATTTTTTATTATTTGAATGTTAGAACCCTGCAGCATAACAACAAGGTTAACGGCTAAAACACAAACCCATGGGAATGGCACTTCAATTAATTGATTTGAGAAAGTTGTGGCATTATACCGACTTTTCACGCGTCATACGCAGGCAGCTCATGTATATGTGTACTATTATATCTGAACAAACAGTAATGGCTTTACTTCCTCTTGGCTCGTCCTCTCCTCAGGCCTGCAGACCCCCGTTCTGTATTTGAATAAGACTTCACCCTATGAGAGTGAGGAGTTCACAGCCACCTGCAGTGCTCCAGAAGAGAGAGGATCCCTTATCTTCAGCTTTCACCAGAGATTAAGGGGCGGAGCCTTGACGAGGATAAAGCAGACAGCGTTTACGGGGAACTCATCAGAGACCACGCTGGTCCTGAGGAGTATTGGAAACAGCACCCTGTACTGTGACTATGAGGTCAATTTGGTTTCTGGGTTCAGACACTCCAACCGCAGCAACGAGATTCTAGTGATCGTCAAAGGTTATTAGTTCAAGAGCTGATATGTCTCCAAGAAAAGATCCCATTGCTTAAAGAGGCTTGTGGGATTGACTCTCCCGAATTGTGTCTTGCAGGACTCTACATTTCCCCGATCATGAACGTGCTGCCCTCGCCAGATGTCTATGAGGGTGAGATAATAGAGGTGGTCTGTAAAGTGATGAGTGAACTGAAGAACATTGACGTATTCCTGACGAGGGACAGGAGGATCCTCAAGAAAGCCCCAGTCAGCCTCAGCCATCGGTTCACTGCACAAGAAGGCGACTCTGGGAAGCTCGTGTGCAAGGCAGAGTGGGGCAACGTGCAGAAAGAAACGAATCAAACAATCACAGTCAAAGGCAAGGACTGGATAACTTTGTCATAAAGTGTCTCTTCTATTTTCATGATTAAAAAGTACTCCATGTATTCATTGTATAATACCTGATTTCTGCTGTCCCACTTCAACAGAGCTCTTTTCAAAGCCACAACTGACTGTGAATCCCACAGACATATTTGAGGGTGACCGCTTCAAACTGACCTGCTCTGTCTCCATCTATGTTCCTGAGAGGATCAGCAATGAAAGCATACAGTTCTCCATCTACAAAGATACTGTCAAGCTCATCAGTGCAGAGACATACTTCACTGTGGCACAACCTTCTAAAAATGGCAACTACACCTGTAAAGCCCGGGCTCTCAGTCTCAGGCACAGACCTGTACAGAAAGAAAGCCAAGCAGTTGTTGTCAAAGCAAAAGGCGAGTCATCAAATGCATGCTGACATGAGCATTTCGATGCAAGTACGGCCTCACAGAGCTGCTAGCGTGGCCGTAGACTCTTGTTTATCTTTGCCTTGTTCTTTTCTCTTGCAATGACTAAGCCGCTAATTGTCTGATCCCCAGTTCCTGTTTCTGAACCCATGCTGAGTGTGGTGGGGGGTACGCTGGTGTTGGGAAAGCGCTTCCAGCTGCTCTGTCACAGCGACAGTGGCACTCTGCCCATCATCTACACCCTGAACAGCCCTGACAGGCTGGCTAAGAGCAGCGTGGTGAGCAAGCCCGGGGAGGAGGCCATCTTTAACTCCTCGGCCATCTACAAGACTTCAGACTTAAATAACTTTCTGTGCCATGCGACAAACGGTGAAAACAGGCCTCCTATGAGAGGAACAGGGCAACAGCTGCTACGTTCAACCATTATAGGTGTGTTGGATGACGACTCATTGACACAAATTGATGTTAACATGCTAAAAAAGCTGGTCTAACGTGCATTTAACTCCATGCAGAGCCTGTCTCGAGACCAGTGTTGATCGTGCAACCCGGTGCGGGGGACGTCTCCGAGGGGCAGGACGTGACCCTCGTCTGCTCTGTTCAGAGAGGCACTCTTCCCATCAGCTTCACCTGGTTCCACACTGAGACGGAGGTCTTCTCCCAGACCTCCAACAATCTGAAGGAATCCTACAGCATCAGCAACGTCAGAGGAGAGCACAGAGGGGAATACTACTGTGTGGGCAACAACCCGGCCAACGTAACCAAACAAAGCCTCACCGTCATGATCGGAGGTGTGTTCTCTCTTCAGTTAATAGCAGAGGTGATGGTCATCGATGCCTACCTTTGTCAGGACCGAGTAGCGGTTAAGAGAGTAAGGATGTTTTGTAAAAAAAGTGAGGACATTTGTGTGATAAAGTCTAAATGTGTTATTGGATAAAATAATAAATAAATACTTGATTAAATGATGGATGTATACGTGAAAGGTAAACTGTGTTTAATAGTCAATTCATGCCCATCCGTATAATTCATTTAAATGTATTCTGCAGTGAAGATGGCTGGCTGGAAGAAAGGTCTCATCGCTGTTTTTGTCTTGTGCATCCTGCTCATTCTGGCACTGATCCTCATTATGGCCTTAAAAAGACGCCTTCTTCTATTCAAGAGGAAGAGAACTGGCGAGCTGTCGGTGTAAGTAACATTGCTCATGTTCTTACCAAAAATCTGTGTGTTGAAAGTGAAGCAAACTTTAGTAGCAAGAGTAGGTATAGTGGTGACGCCCGTACAGTTTCCTGTTTTAAGAAGCTGATTGTGTTTTGCGTCCACCTCTTCTTAGGAAGTCAGCCAGCACCAAAACGGAGCGGCTGAGCCTCACCCAGGCGGCGGTCAACGAGGCTGCCAATGGTAAAGTCTCTCTTGCTGATTGAAATACTGAGCTGCAAATATGAGTTGGTAAACTAGTTTTCAACGAGTCTGGTGCCATTTTTTGTCCTCTCTGTCTAGTCACTCCAGGCATGATTGGAAAGAGTGTTTGGAGTGAACATGCATCAGGCTCGGGTGAGTAGTATGTAGACAGTTCTTAACTCGTCAGCAAGTCCCACGAAAAGAACAAAACTAACAATGTGTTAGTCTGTCGTCAATCATTTCTGCCCCTAAAGATGTAAATCTTTAAAAAAGGGGACACCCTAATTTAATAAAGGAACATGTCAGCCAGGGCAACCGTGTGGCTCATGGCTGTGTTTTTCATGTTCTTTTGACAACATTTAAGTTTTATCAGACAAAACATATTTGGCACATATACACAAAGTATATAGAATATCACCAGCATTATTGTTTAAATGTTACCTACTTTGACTGCTGCACTGTTTGATTTGAAATAATATGAAATGCTATGAAGTTTAACTTCAGCTTAGTACTGTATTGTACTGCAGAGTCTGAGGACCAGAACAGTATGAGCGCTCCAGAAAAGCCACCAGAACCTCAATACACCGATGTGCAGACCAGACAGGCTGATCCCAACAGAGGTGAGGCTGCCTCTGAATTTATTAGGTTAATAATTTTGAAATGAAAAACACGGTCTTGAATAGGTGCGTTTGTGTTGTCGACAGCTCCGGTGAAAAAGGGCACAGACACGGTGTACAGCGAAGTGCGGAAGTCCAAGCAAGGTATGACTCACATCCTGCTCTTCGTTCAAATCCCACTTACGTTATGCGGTGAGAGAAAATCAGGCCACTCGCTGACGTTTGAAAAAGAAAAAGCGCCAGGAAACAGGATCAGCTCCAACTGTAAACATCTGCATTGTTAGTGAAAGAATGTCCCATTAAAACAGAAGGCCCAGTTGCCAGGTGTCCACTTCCTGCTATCGTCAAAGAGAACTTCCTGTTCTAACAATCAGAGCCAAACAGTATGTACATCCGCTAAGACTTGGTGAGCAACACTCCATTGTTCCCTACTGGTGGGGGAAACTCTCAACCATTGTTCAGTCATTGGCTCCTAATAACTGCTGACGGTTTAAATGTCAGCTGTAGTGATACAAACAATGATGCAGCAGAGTTAGAGGAAAACACAATATAACACAGCAGGCATGTTTTTTGCTCTATGTGCTCTAAAGGGAGACGTGCTTGTAGATAAAGACTGTTAGCACAAACAAATTAGCGTGAATGTGTGCGATATGATAAGCTCACAGTTTCCTGGCATGTGGGAGCTGTTCATGGGAGCGCTGACGACAATACAAGCCCTCCTTTAATCCTCAGACTCCTTTTGTTTCCTGAGCTTGTCCTCTGGCTTTGTTTTCGCAGGTGTTCCAGAGCAGGGCGATGCTGTAAGTGGAAACACACACACACAAACACATCACACACACACAGTGCATGCACACACTACAAAAAGGCAGAAACACACTCGTGAATCTGTTGTGTCGGAGAACTTTGCAATTTGACACAAATATTTTCAATTGTTAGACTTCAATTAATGAATTCCAGTTAACTGGATTAAAGTCGGTTCACAGGAGGTCAAATGAACACTCAAAGATGTGTCTACAGAAACTAAACTATCTATCTAACATCAGCAGGTTACAACCACAATGTTGTGAGCATGTTAGCATATTGATGTTAGCATTTAGATCAAAGTGCCACTGTGCCTACAGTCTCATGGAGCCTCTAGCATGACTAGAAATTAGGACATGTTCATGAAATAGTGTTACCCAACACTTTGAGTAAATATATATGTTTGCTTTGTGTCTCACATTGTGAAAGACAGATTTTTACCAGCTCTGAAACTGTAGCTGTTGCTGTTAAGATATTATCGATGCTATATTTATTTCTGTGCAAGACGAATTACTTGACACACAAACACGTGCGTTTCCATTCGACACAGGCATGGATGTGGTGCAGTAGTCTTTCAGCCGGTGTCGGTCCGTGCCTTTCTTTCAGTGTCTTGGTCCCTCTCAGCAGGGGGCGGTGGAGTACGCGCAGCTGAATCATGACACGGATCGCCACAGTGACCGCGGTAACCATGGTGACCACAGTGTCCAGGATGACCACATAGATGAGATCGACATCGACAGTGTTCACATCGGCACCGATGACCACGGGAAATGAAAACACGACCCGGCGCCCACCAAGAATATTTATTCCTTTATTTATCCGGCTCGTTAATGCAGCTGGAGTCTTTTGTCCTGAAAGGCCTGAAACAGCTCTGAGCATTTATGTACTTTTTGTATTTTTGTAACACTTTGCGAGGAACATCTCACCCTGTAGATTCACTTGCTTTGCCTTTGAAGGGCAAATAAAATGTTTTCGTTAAGTGAAGTGTTTCTCTGTCCTTTCTCTGGTGGTTTTCTTGCCCAGACGCACAGAGAGGATGTGAGTTGCACCGAGAGGATGTGAGTTGCAGCCACAAAGGAAGAGACATTCAACTCTATATCCTTACACTGGTGTCAGTGGTGACAGAATCCAAATAGAAAGAGAGCTCTTTGAAGTGGAGCGCAGTAGTGATACTGCAGCTTTAGTGGTGGGGTTGTGACTGCACTCATCGACAGTGTGAGAGTCGGTGTTTAAACAATGAGAGGACAGACTTCAGGCGGCGCTGCGTGGAAACTTAGTGCCACCTGGCTGTAATCCGCCTCACTGCCAGGACGGCGTTCACCGTGTTGTCACAGCATCAGTTTCCTCACAGATATCCGTTTCATGTTCCATTATCTAAGCTTTGATTGAATGATATTACATGAACGTATTCAAGGTCTCCATACACCAGATATGTTCAGCAGGCAGACCTCTTGCTAAACTCCACACAGCAGAGGAGGATAATGCACATTCATAATTGGCATGAACTCTTTAAGACTTTTAAGCCACACTTTGAGAACATAACGTAACAACATAATGCGTCTTAAAGTGAAAGTGTGTTTGATATGACCGCAGCTACCAGTTACTTACATTGCTTTAACTGTTGGTTACTTTTTTAGATTAATTAATTCAGTCTTTAAAATGTTAGAAAATAGTAAATGGCTGTTGCAAATTCTCAAAACCCTGGTTGACTTCTTCAAATTGTTGATTTGTCCAACAACATTATCACTTTACTGGTGTCTTGCTTTTGCTTTCAAACTGACTTAAAGGATTCATTGTTGCTGATTCATTTTCTATTGATTGACCAACAGTTAGTGTTAGAGCACTTTCCTGCAATGCTTACAGTTATTTCTTAGTGAGTGCAAAGCATCTAAATAATCTTTCTTCATGTCCTATTTTAGAATTATTATAAATGATTGTTATTTAATTTGGCTTTAGAAACGTATCTGATCTTTTACAAAGACCTGTGGGTGTGAAGAGTGTCATTGTGACATTGTGCACCTGTCAGCAGGTGAACTGGGGCTAGCGGAGCACATTACAAAGCTGCTGGACCTGGATTCGAGGGCATACGTTGGGTTCACTCAGTACACGGCAACTGCTGTCGACAGTCTGGATTATGAGGATCTGCGTTTTGACAGGAAGCTCTTATAGGAACACTGATCAGCAGATAAAATCCATGTGTAACACCTGACACCAGCGCTAACACCGACAGCCTGCCACTGGCTCTCACGCTTTCATCTCCATTCTTAGCACCAACCAACGTATAGATTGTTCATCTTCATTATCTGCCTGCCTGGCGTTTCCTCTTGCTTCTGTGTGTTCACAGAACTGTCTGATCTCTCCTCCTCGCCCACCTCTGAGCTTTGTTCACCGCTGCAATTGTGCTTCACGAGTGTGTGCACAATATGTGACGGCGGGCTGTGCTACAATATTTCCAGGGTTTGCACCATTCCCTCAGGCCTCCCAAAGCTCTCACATGCACAATGATATGTGTGTGCTTCTTGGCCTCTGTGGTGTCCTCGGAGGCATCTATGAATGCCTACGACTTCAGATCCGTGCCAAAATGAAAACAAGGCTGCTACTGCCGCGTCTCAGTCGACTCATGGTTAATTAATCACATTACTTAACCGGTCGGCCTTGATAGGAGGGAACAGCATATTCTGAGCCACACAGGAACTGATACTATGGGACAGTAGAGTAACATGTACGGTATCAAAGTTGTTAGAAAAGGAGTGTAATTACACAGGGATCAGAGAAAAGTGTAGCCTGAGCTTGCTTTGGTTTTATTTTTGGATGCATTTGACCAAAATACAAAACCACAAAGCCATACAACACCTGTTTTAACAGGATATGGTTCAAACCAGTGCGTTTGCGACAGCCACAAAACACATGTGTGAGGCTGTCAGGAGAGTAGAGGGTGCTTTGAGTGCACACTCGTCTCAGACACCGAACACTTTGCCCAAGGATGGTGCTGTTCTGCCTTTAGATCGTAACTGTCAGGAGTGAGGATGGTGGATTTACTGCTGTTCCCAAAGCTACAATGAGCGAGGTCATGTGACCTGACACACCTTTAGGGTTCCTGTTACAAGCAGGCACGCACCGCCAGAGTAACTCTGTCACATGATCGATGCTTATGGGGCCAGTTGTGTGGCAACTAAGGAAGGCGGCTTGGTTTTGGACATGTGGTCAGAGTGCTAGAAGGGTCTTAAAGGCCCGGCAGAGTCCAGCGTCTCCTCTTTATTGCTGCACGTACGCCGTCTGTGTCTCCGCCACGTAACCTGATCCAGCTCCTTCTGTATCTGGAGCACAACTCCTGAACTGCCATTGGCTGCTGTGCTAAAATTAGCATATCGACCCCTGTGAAATGCATTCTGGGAATATCCTGCCTTTGACTTGGCCTTATGGGGCCAGGGCTGTCGGTGGTCTGCAGATGCAGCAATGAGGTCATCGCGTAGACCTCATCTCTCCTGCTCCTGCAGAGGAACGTTTATGTTACAGAGTTGTTCTTAGCCACCATGTAAATCTATGTGATTCCACCACATAGATTTAAATCAAAGACATAGAAATAAAATTACTATCTGCATCATCTGAAGTCTGGTTGTGCAGCATTACTTCTTAATTCCCGAATAACTGTAGCGGCAGAAAAAGAACAAATGAAGGAGACAAAAGAGTTGAGACGTGCTCAATTCAATGTTTTATTACAGGCATTTTTATTCATATTCAATGGGTGTATTTGAGGAATGGCTATAAGTCAAACTGGTCATCGTTGTTTCTAATCTTCACGATTTATTACAGAATATTTGCTTTAAACTGTGAAATTGTCGATGCATTATGCAAAACTGTTACAATGCTAAGCCTTCCAAATAACTTTCAATAAAATGAATTTGGAATCCGCAGAGATATTTATCAAAAGGCTGGTATTTCATGGCTCATTTGTCTTCCTACATACCACTCACTGGTCGGAGGCTCATTAAAGAGTCGTGCTGGGATGTTAGAGATGAGTGCCTGTAGTGGTGCACAGTCTGTGTCTGAAACCAATTAAAGTACATTGATATAACTGAAGATCAGTAATTATTCATGCAAGTTATATAAGTCAGGTGTTTGTATAATGCTGCATTTGACAGTTTTCTGGTGGGAAAATGCTGCCAGTAAAGATCAAATAAGTGAAGCTTTGAAGCCAGTGTCACTTCGGGTGTCCCGACACTTTGTAACATTTTTTATTCTTGTCATTGACAAGCAGCCACATGTCACCGTGCTGCAGACTGCAAAGGCAGCTCAGGCTTGCCATTATGTCAAATACTCTTTTGTCCTTCATATGCTGAGTAAAGGTTAGATTTAGTAAGTCCACCTGCTGCATGTCCTCCGTCTTTAATTGCTTGAGCTCTCACAGATCCAGGACATTAATTCGACATAACCTTGTGCAACCTGCTCAGAGCAGCACGGCACCGAGGGTTTACGTCCTCTTCTTCATCGACCACCGGCTGAAACACTCGATTGTGCAATCGAGCATCAACACATTAAGCGCACGTGTGCACAACTTTTAACCTCTGACCTCCTTTTCCAGAGATGCGGGCTTTGGCTAAGGTAACCCAATCCTCACACAAACAGTCAGCCGTGGTACTCCCACTCCCCTCTGTGCTAAGTCTGAGTCCGAGTGCTCTCACTGAGTCCCGGACAGCTGCTGCGTCTGTTTACTGCCTTTGCCTCTTTGCAGGGCGGCGCTCTCCGTGCTCGGCTAATGTCAGCAGCAGTGTCTCCCAACGGGGACGCTTTTGCTCCCCCATGTCTGCTGGACGGCTTATAATTATCCTAAACAGTCTATAAAAGCCTTGAACCTTCTCATGGGACTGTTTATTCAAAGCTGTACTGGAAGCCTTTTTTAACTCTGGGTTACATGGGTCACTGGAAGATATTCGAGTGTAAAGTGTTTATGAGGGGATATGTGCAGTCTAGAGGTGCATGGGTTCAAACGCTCTGCCGTGTCTTATGCCAACATTTAGACACGGCCTGAGCAGTTCTATGTCTCTTGGAACAAAAGACTAATTTACACTTACCCAGAGTTCATCCACCCCCAGCAGTCTGCACCTGTTATCTACATGACAGCTATGATATTAATGATTTAAAACATGTTTAACACCTACATTTGACCTCAGACCCAGATGAACTGAACAAAGGTTTATGCTTTATTTGAGATCATGTACATAGAATTTAATCCAATTATATCGAGCTGCTGTCTGATGGAACCACTGTAACCACAGCTCTCCAGAGGAACAGAAACAAGTCTGGACAAAAAAAACACTTAACCACTAAAACCAAATCTTAATCTGGGAGAAAAGGACGTATATTACTTAAATATCATGGCGTTAAAAATATATCTATTCATTCCGTTTAGTAATGAATCTGGAGCAATTCCCGTGGAAACTATGTGCTCGTGACTCGGGGGGGGGGTTCAACAGGTTAACAGTCTAGAGGCATGGGAACCATGAGGGGCCACGCCATGTATTTTAGGACCAGGAGGCAGTTGGACTGTATCAACAGCAAACGGCTCAGTTTACTTTTGGTTGGCTTGTCTAATGTGCTCATCCTTTTGTGAATTCACCTGATGCCAACTGGTTTTATAGTCTACGTGCGCGCGAGGGTCCACTGAGAACATATTGCTCAATAAAAATGCTTTTGCTGTGTTAGCTGCTATTTCATTTACATGACAACGCAAATGTTAGAGGAAGAATTGATTTGCTTTTCTCAAATACACTGTCTTAGAGTCCCTGGTGTCTGTAATGTTATTTGTTTCCATCCAAGATGATATTAAAAAGTAATGCTTCTTATATACGAAGCATTATTATTGAATTGTGCTCAAACATTACATACTGTAACCTTAATATTTTCATTGTGTTGCTGTTGTATCAGTTGGAAGTTAAACTATATAAGTCACCTGGTGTAACTTCACTATGCTGATTTCACAATTGGTAATAAACAGAAGGCCGTGAATATGAAGAACTTCCAGCTGCATCAAATACTTATAATATTTAATCCCATTTCTTCCATGAGGGTACAATCCAAGATCTTCTATTAAAGATCTGTTACAAATCTAATTATTGTGATGTCTCATAGCTATTCTAGTTTTAAATGTTGAGACCAATGGGTGGCCTCCGGTTCGAAAAGTGAAGGATTTTTCTTTTCTTTTATTTTCTTTTTTTTATCCTGCAAATGTTACATTTTTTTTAGGTTTGTTAATTTCGTTATAAGCATCTAGCCAAAATTAGCATCCCAATCGATATCACAGTTCATGTAAATCACAGATGTACCTCGCTAACCTCGCTAACTAGTGCTAGCATTAGCTGGTAACTTGTGTTATTGTTGCCCTGCCGGGCCTCGCTCCTCACCAGCTCCTCCACCTTCTCTTCCAAATATGATCACTTCTGGCTCCAAAGAATAAGATGGTGACGGACAAAATTCAAAATGGTGACGGCCAGAATGCCAAACTCAAGGCTCAAACGATCCACAAACTGGTGGGTGACGTCACAGTTACCACGTCCACCTCTTTTATAAGTCTATGGTTGAGACTGAATATCAGGGTAATTTAAACTTTAAGTTTCTACAGATGGTTCCATCTCCACAGCTGCAGGCATCACGATGTCTCTCTTTCTCGCTGAACGACAGACTCGCTCCAAATTTAGATTCCAGACCCTTTTTCTGAGCGCACTGGTCGTATTGTAACCAGATGTGAGAAAATGGGACCAGAACAGGAGATGTTTTTGTAAAGGTTTTCTAGACACTTTGTTCTTTACTTCTATTTAAAATTCCTGCTAAGAGTCCCAACAAAGCTGTGAAGCTACAGTTTGTTGAAGCACACGATTATTCAAATGTATGACTTGTGTTACACTGACCGTTTTAGACAACAATGTTTATGAGGATGGCAGCCTGCATTCAAAACATGCTAAACACAGACAGGATGCTTCACAGCTCTTATTTTTAGGCAATGTAGTCACCAACCTGCCTCCTACCTGCTGCCCGCGAGTCAGTTGGGTGTTATTAAGGAATGCATAGCTGGCTTTTTTGTAACATGTATTGCCCACTGATAAGCCTCTGTGACAAGTCGCCATTAAAATTGCCATTCTATTGGCTTCAGCTCCATGTTTCCTGAACAGTTTGTCCCGGAATACTTGGCCACATGGAGCAGAGAAACTCTCTGTCACACTCACTCAGGGTAGTGATGCAAATGGATCACTGGTGGCACCAACTGACAGATTGTTTACACCATTTTGTTGATTATAAGTCAGAAGATGTAATTTGAGTTCCGGTTGTCTTTGACCTAAAAGATTTAACGACACAAAAACACTTTCTGTGAATGAATGTTAGATGAGGTGCCATAATATCAGGACTAGAATCTCAGATATCAATAGTGATGCTCCTTATGATGAACAGCAGTTAATGTGTCATGTAGGGCGAACGCATCATTGATAGGCAGCTTGTGATGGAGCTTGTTTGTAGCAGAGGCTCGACCAGCACAGACAATGTGAGACGGTTTAAAGATTAATGTTGTTGATGTTCCTGTTGGAGCAAAGTTCCACATTACCAGCAGGTCATTGTGCATTTATTTTAGTGAAACATTTATTGTGAAAATCTGTCCCACAGAAATATGTTTATGACCAGAGAGAAAAAAAATCATATGACGCACAGCCTATGAGGAAGAGGAACGGGAACGTATAGATAAGTAAAAAATAATAATAAAATACAATACAATAATTTTGAAGAACGTTTTAAGAAGAGATTCATAAGGAGTGTTCGATTAAGGAGACATTTAAAGCAGCATATAATTAAGCAGCAGAGAAGCAAAGAGTGCATGCATCAAGTGTTCATGTCTAAAATGTGATATCATTTCTTCTTTACTTTCACAGGCTGCAGCTATCGTTGAGGGCATGTCCTCTCTATTTTTCACTTTATTCTCAGGGAATGTGAGATTTTTAAAAGCCTGTGGGGAGTTTACATTCTGTCATTAAAATTGAACACTCGGTGGATTTTTTTATGAGCTGATTCCTGCACTTTCTGGTCGCACTATACTTAAATCTGAATTATTTCAAACCAACAGACAATATAGAGAGACTTTGAGTCCTCGCAGCCTAAAGAGAGCGTAGCAACACAATCTAAATGCTTTAGATGTTAGGAATAAAACAATATAACTAAACAGGTACCTGAGTACGTGTCTTACAAGCTAATACAATTTTTTAGAAATGCACATTTTATTGTTGGTGTCTGGTCAAAACCGCACCATAAGAAGAGCGACTATATTGCTGAATAAAGTGGTCCCTGAGCCACTGATCACAGAGATATGATTGTGTTAAAGCTTTTAATAAAGTAAACATCCTTAAAATCCTGACTTGGGACCTTGTTGACGAACTGAAAAAGTCACATTGAGAAATCTGATGACACCACGTAGACGTGTGACTTCATCCCTGTTCTGTCAATGACTGTTGTTGCCAACATTGTCCTTGGCGATGCTCCACACACCTGGATGTTTTTTTAACTCTGACTTCTTGGTAATTTGACGGATTATGCACACGGGGCAGCCTGGGAGTATGTGTAACGCCAGAGACCTCTCTCTGGCGTTTATCCAACACCGGGCTGTAACAAACAAACATTTGCCACACGCTGAGGTTCTCTTTTCTCCTGGTGAGATAGTCTCTCTGGAGAGGAGTGAAGGGAAGCTGGAGGGAGTATTGCATCTGCACCCCCACAATACCATATAAGAGACTTTGAAACCTAATAGCTGTTGCTAAAAGTCTCTTCCTCAAGCTGTGAACATTCAAATCCTCCCACTTCAATTTGTCTTTAATTTGTTTTGAGACCAGTGCAGGGAGGTGACTAATAATAATTTGTATTGGCATTTAGAACTGGGGTCAACTCTTAAGCAGAAATGAATTGAACATTTCCTGCTGGGATAGCCTGAGTCACGTGATCTCCCTCCTCTGGCTGCGTTAACCGGTCCTGAACAGTGCATGATAATGTGAAAGTCCTTTGTGTTCTCAATTCTGAAATAAAGTTATCTGCAGGTAGTAATGTGGAATATCCTGCAATGCATTAGAATAGCTGCTAATATCGACAGTGGAGATCCAGTTCTGGAGCAAGGTCACATCTTAAGTGGTGGGAGTTGTGGTCAGAAACACAAACCTGAAGATAGCAGCTAGGTTATTTCCTCTGTTACATTGGCAGCATCTGTGAAATGCCCAAGACCTCTTCCAAAGTATTAGTAAACCAGTTAAAACCAGCTCTGCCCGTCCTAGGAGTCTGTCCAGTTGAGAGACAGCTGGAGCCACCAGCACAGCGTTATACAGCAGCATTAACACGTTGTGTAGAACAGATAACAACCTGTGTTATTCTACATTTTGAATATCAAGTTTACAAAATCAGGAGAGCAGTACCATTTCTGTTTTAGAGAAAAGCAACATTCTGCTCGCTGTGCGTCAATGTTATTTAGGCAGTCAAAGGTTCAGTGTTGTAAATAGCTGCGTTTCTGGCAACTGTGTGACTTCTCAGCGGCATCTGAAGGGAGGGGTTACATTTAGGGGCTTCATGACTACACTCCCATACATAACCTCCTCAGTGAGAGGACGTTTATGATGTATCTGGTTATGATGCAAAGGGCAGCCATAGAGTGTCACATGACGGACCTGCGGGTCAAAGGAGAACCATTACTCAAAGATCTCCACTTTATTCTAAAAGTTAAAGAAAATGTGTTTTTCAAATCAACTTCTAACGACTCTGGTCTACTAAGGTTATATTGCACCATCAGGTATGACGTAAGCAGACAAATCAACAACACACGCCAATATTAAACCACGTGCTATTGCTGTTTGCTGTTGTTTATCTGTCCTGCAAAACATCTCTGACGTTAATACAACCAAAACCACTGAAAATTGGCCTACATAACTGCTTCTAATGACCCCAAAAAACATAAATAACTGGGCTGTGCATTTGAGTTACAGTCTCCCTCTTCTGTCAATTTAACTTCAATATCATGCATGACTGTTTATTTGGGAAGATGTCGGTCTCAAGCAAGACTCAAAGGGAACATTTTGGTTGTCAACATTTTTTATGAGGGGTGGGTGCCGTGTCAGTGGACATGTGACTGTACAGAGGTGGGTGGAGCCCAACAGAGGCCACTCATTTCTAAGCTGAAGTCACTGGATATTAGGCCCTAAAATAGCCCTACAGAGGGTATAAAGGGGTCCTCTCCCACTTTCCCCATCAGACAACGATTCTGTGCAACAGCAAACACATTGTGCAAAAGATCAATTAGAATTCAGATGGGAAAAATTCACAGCAGACGAGAAAAAGAGGACCGTCCAAGCTAAAGAAGGGGATTGGATCACAGTGAAGCAAAGGATTTGAGAGGTGTTTGTATTGTGCAGAAACACCAGGAGATACACCAGCTGGGAATCAAAGGGATAAGAAGCAAGCGAGGAGAGGACAAAAAGGACACAGAGCAAAGGATACTGCTCTTTTCTGTGGATTGGTGTGTTCTCTTGGGTTTCTCACTTCCCCCCTCCCGGGCTTACAGCAGAGGGGGAGGCAGAGTCGCAACCATCGCAGGGATGAAGTACAGCTACCATGTGCCGGTGTCAACGTACACACGCAGCTCACAGTACACGCCGACATCCCACACACCTAGCTATTTATCAGCATCACATTACACCCCAACTACACCGCACTACACATCCGCATACACCTCTCCAACAAAGTACACCCCGACACAGTACAGCACGGCGCATTACACCCCCTCACAATACACATCCACTTACAAGGCCGCATCGACATACATCCCCTCGTACAGCAAAGGGTCACGGTACAGTTCAACAAATCGCACACAAGCACAGGAAAACCCTGCACCGGTAGCACCTGTAACACCTGCCGCGCCCGCAAAGAGAACTGTGCACTTCCCCAATGACATCATCTTCCAGGATATTGTTAGACGAGGTGATTTGGAGCAAATCGGTCGCTTCATGAGAGCGAGGAAGGTTCGTGTGGATACAATCTTCCACTCGGGTATGTCTCCACAGCTTTTCCTTTCTTGTTACATTGCCAAGCAATTTTTAAATTTGATTTGACCTTAGAAATATTACCAGCCGATGAGGAACTGACTGCATTGCTGCAGCAGAGGACTGACATGTAGTCTTATGTGCAGGTATGGCAGCGCTTCATGAAGCCGTGCTAACGGGAAACATGGAGGTGGTGAAGTTGCTGGTGAAATATAGCGCTGATGTTCACCAGAGAGACGAAGACGGCTGGACACCGCTACACATGGCCTGCAGCGACGGCTACCCGGAAATTGCCAGGTGACCTTTTAACCTTTTACCCTTGAAAACTGACCGCACAGAATCAAACATGAAAGACTTCATCATCTGCTGATAAATTGTCTTTAATTATTATATTGAACAGATATCGGCATTTAAAACCACTGTGAACTTTTGCACATTTTCTATGAAATGAGAATGCTTCAAATATTCCTTTAGAGATTAAGAGGTCATCTAATCACAATTACCTTACTGAGACAAAGTTTATCTGGATATGACGGCTCTGAACATTGACATCAGGGAATAAAAAAGACATTTGAAACAATGACATAATTCATCACAATATACAAAAAAAAGAGAGGATGATCATTGGATAGGAGAGAATTTAAATGTCAAAATATGAGGGAGGATGTTTTGTGTTGAATTATATCCATAAGAAGTAATTTGGGAACTGATCCTCAAAACATGAAGCTACAATACTAATACCACTGAATTTTGACAGTTCCAGTTATTATGAGCCATTGAAGAAGATCAGTTGCAGTAATAATAAACTATTCTATGTTTTTTTAATATATCTGAGAACCTCTGGTTGACAACGCTGTGCTTCATTCTCCCCTCAGTTATCTGCTGTTGATGGGCGCCAGCACAGAGGCCGAGAATGAAAGCGGAGAAAAGCCTGCAGACCTCATCGACCCGGACAACAAAGAGCTGGTCAAACTGTTCGAGATGGGCTGTGTGGGATCGGGCACCAAAAGGACCCAAGACAAAGCAGCAACCAAGACAGAAGGCTGAGCAGCCACTTGGAAAAGAAAGAAAAACACATTTGACAGTGTTAAACAGTGCAATACCAAAGAAACTTGTAAAGGGGGGCATAGTGCGGGTTTAAGACCATGTCACTGACCCTGTAATGCAAGATGGTGGTTCTGTGTGTAACTTTAAAAAGTTATTTTTTAAGATGCAGCCTTAAAGCAATACACTGTGAGGCTGTATTTCTTTTCTTTATTTCGCGTATTTATCATATACTGCAAGTGTCTATGCAGCAAATGTTAATCTGCTTTCTCCCTGTCTTCACTCTCAGTTCATGTAATATAATACTAACAATGTGTCACTGTGGTCCAGAATCAATTGATTTCAAAAGGAAATACGATTGATCTGATCATGGCATTTTGGTTTAAGTATTTTAAGTAGCTGGTAGCGCCCTGCAGACTGTATTTTTTTCAAACTATTATTATAATGTGTATTAAATTTAGAACATGTTGTAAATGCCCAAAATGTTTGTGTTCTATAGTCTGAGCTATCTATCCTTGCTGCTGGGCAGAAGAGGATCAGCTGAATGAATAATTGATACTTCATTGATGGTCAGAAATAAAATAAAACAATTAAAATAAAATTAAGTGTATGCTGTTTGAGCACTTTGCCTGCTGCAGTATTCCCCCTGGTGTATTGCTGTTTATTGCAAATGTCAGCAAGGAAAGTCTTATCATTTTCTCCTCAATAATTATTTTTGTACCTTTTCATAAATAAAGAAACATTTTATAAATATGGTTGAGTTGCTGTTGTGCAGTCTGTCTAACAAAACGTAAAATGTATCAAAGAACTATATTTTCACCAGCATGTCTTCAGGCTGAAGTTTAAAGCATCTTTAGAGCAAAGGTTACAGCGGATATAATTATTATTATTTTTATTGTTATTATTGTTGTTGTTGTTAATGATGTTGTTGTTGATGTTTATAATATCATACATACATTAGTATTATTATTATATTATTATCATTATTGTTGTTGTTTATGATGTTTATAATACAATACGTACATTATTATTATATTACTATCATTGTTGTTGTTGTTGTTGTTGATGTTTGTAGTATCACAGGTACAGTCTCGTTGTGGAAGCCCTTTCACTTCCGTTCTGTTTTCCCGGAAATGATTGGTTGGCATTGGCAACGTTTTAGCAGGTCTAACGGCGTACTCAGTCTCTGAATAAAGAAACCGAAAGGAAGGGTTGTAAAAAAAGGTTTGTTGAATATCTTAAAACGGTGTCCTTTACTGTACACGTTGACAATGTTCTAAGTGCGTTAAGTGCATTTCTAATAAATATTTGGGACCGGTAAACCAGCAGAAATATTAGCTGATTAAAGCTAACGTTACGACAAGACAATGTAAATCGCCCGGCTAGCTAGCTAGCTGGCTAAAGTTAGCTGAAATCATTTTGTCAGCACATCTACAGTCAGCTGTCCGGGACACAGCTATAGGGGGGCACGAATCCCAATAAGCAGAAACGATTTGAGAGGCAATAAAGAGTCTTGTCCACGGGGATGTGACCGGTGGTTAACGCACCGGGTTAGTCTCTGTAGCCTGATGCTAACACCACTGAAGCTACTGGAGCAAGAACGTAAACAAAAGCCTCTTTGGTTTGCTATCGTCACTGTTTGTATTGTTTCCATACGCACAGCGTCTCGTAGATGTATATAAATTAGTTAACGTTAGAAACTGTGAGTTAACAACACAACAAATTAACCTGATTTATGAGAACTTTTCAGATGATATAGTGTGTTAGCCGTCTAACCAGCACTTTAACTAGTTTACTGTTTCTAAAAGTTAGTTTTGATGTACATGTAGATCTGTGTTGTTTCATTTAGAGAGAGTTCTTGGATCTTGTACCGATGCTATATTTGTTGTTTGTTGTTAGAATTCAGCTGAGGACTTCTGAACCTTTTTATTCTTCAAATCTACTCACCATAGAGGAGCAAGGAGCGAGTACAGACTGCAAACAGAATGACCAGGTTTGTAACAAGTTAATGCACTGAAGTATATATATATATATATATATATATATATATATATATATATATATATATATATAATGCACAAGTACAACTAGACCAGCGTTAATAGTGTTTATTAAAATGTAATAACATTTGATTTTAAGTATGTACTGCTTCGGGCTTGAAGAATATTATTAGACTTTAAGGAAATGAATGTCTATTTATGCTGCTGATTTAGCTGTTATTATGTTTGTGAAGCTCATCTGCTCCCAGGATGGTGAATAGTTACAAGCGGACTTCAAGCCCCCGATCCCCGACAAACAGTGGGGAGCTTTTCACCCCAGCACACGAGGAGAATGTGCGCTTTATTCATGATAGTAAGTACACCTTCTAACATTGATGTGTTGAATTACTTTGAAAATACTCGTAAGTATTTCATTTTACTATTGCGGATCACTCATCTTTTCGTGTTCCAAAACTACAAAGAGTAATTATTAATGTAAAAGCTCAAGAGTAAACCAATCACGACATAAAGAGCTCAATACAAGCGTGTTAAAAGGATCATACTAAAGTGTGTTTCTGGATTCAGTATATTGTTCAGGTCACATCTCTTTAATCTGATCACCTAATGTGCAGCATGTAAACACAATGTTTACTCTTCTGTTTATCTTGCACGAACATTGCCAGTTCAACTGGTTCGTGTAATTTCAGTTCATATTGCTTGAATCTAGAAGTATACTGTTAGCTCTTTAAATTTCAAAGGTGCCCTATGGAGTTTTCTTGTGTTACTCACCAAAGCTCATCACTATGCTCATTGTGTCATTAAATGAGATTTCATCGTGTGTATCTTTGAGGTCTAACTGACGTGTCAAATGCATTTCCTGCCTCAAAAAACATTTGTATCTTGGTGTGTTACTGCCACTTGTAGATCAGTCAAATAATGTGAAACCATTAACTGTCGTGTCACCTGTTTGTGCACGCTTGCACGCACAAGATAAATAAAACAGGGACCTACTCAATAAAACACTTCATAGTGCTTCTATAGGTTAAAACCTCCACAGGGAACCTTGAAGTCCTGAGAACAGTATGCAACGAGGTAGGTCAGACAGTTCGGACAGCGATCGTGTCGAGCTAATGACTACAGACCATTCCTCAGATTTATTTCTAAGGATCACTTCAATCATCATCGTTAAAAGTATAAATAGTGCTACATTATCTGAACCAGACAACTTAATTGCCCACTTTGAGTACATATATACTGGCACTGAAGCACTTATGTACTGTGAATAGTACTAAAGAATTAGTTTTACATTTCTAAACTTCTTATTTACCTTGAGTCGGTCTTGTCATGTCATTACTAACAAGTCTGCATAACATTTCCTAAATGTAACAAAAGCATTGTTGTCTTTGCTCTTTCCCAGCCTGGCAGTGTGTTCTCCGAGACATCAGGTCAACACAGAATAGTGAACGTAATGACCGTGGACCACAGGAGTACGTGGAGAAGAACCCAAACCCTAACCTACATTGTAAGTAACAGTGTCACTTAGTGGTGAAGTGGATTTTATTTAGTATGTCACACTAAAGGATTATTTAATCAATCACAGGTCAGCTAACAACTTGTTTCTGTCTGCTCTTGCAGCTTTCACACCAGTGGACCTAAGCGACCTTAAGAAACGCAACACACAGGACTCCAAGAAGTCCTAGTCTTTCTCACGACGGTCCGGTTGCTTCTTTCCACCCATTATCCTCGAGAACTTTTCCTCCATCAGCCAGAAAGTCAGCCCTGTTGGCCAGTCTAGCACAGAATGCCAATCTCATTTCTCAACTCTGGACCATAGCAATGCCTGTCTCTTTCTTTACCCTCTGCCACTGACCACGAAGAAAGGAACCAGGATTCCAGGGAGCACAGATCCTCTCGTCTCTTGGTTCATGTTTTTTCAAGTCACTAAATTTTCATACGTACATTCTTTATGTGGATGGGACTGATGCAGACTTTCATCAAAATTTGCTGACATCTGATGCTGAGGTACAAACTGTCAACACTCCACAGGACGCAAAAGACTGCAGTCTTAAACATAAACCTTTTCTTTACTACTGCTACTTATATGACTTTGGAGGAAAATGTGAAAGGGCTGACTTCTTTTTTTTGTTTGTTTTTGTTCTGGAAGGTAGTATGATCAGTAAATTGTAGAAGTAATGGAATCGTCACATTAAGGTATACACTTTATGGGCAAGTTTTGGACGCCAAATGCAACATAGAAGGCCAACGTTTTTATTATATATTTTCTTGCCCTCAAATGGACTTTACTAAGTAGAGACCTCCCCGAGTATGCTGCCCTTGGTTAACCCCCCTAAGCCTTGAAACAAAATGTTGAATAAAAGACTTTTACAGTACTTCTGCTTGTATTGATCCTACATAAATATTGACCATGGAAAAGGGAAAATAAGTTAAACTTATTTGTTAAAGCCAGATAATTAGAAGCGAGTATGCTTTATCATGGTTAGATTAATTGATTAATCATTTGGTTCTTAACTTATCAGACAATAAACAATTTCTTTGAACCACATTTGATGTTAAATTTGCTTGTTTTGTGTGACAGGTATTTAGTTTAAAGTCATGGAAGGCTGAGAAAGCCAACAGGTATTCATATTTAGGAGGCTTGAACCAGTAAAATGTTGACATTTCAGTTTAAAAAAGGATACTTGATTTATCAATGAACAACATCGTTGCAGGTTGATTTTCTGCCAATTGGCTTTGCTCTGTGAAGTATGAGTTTTTGAGGGAGTGTTCAGCAACGCGTATTACGTGATGACGTAGTGTTTACGTGCGCTACGTACCGAACCAGCTTGTCTATATACAGTCGACACTCCTGTATTGTGTATCGTCGTCAGAGCAGAGAGAGCTGAGCTGTGAAGAGACAAAGGAGCAGAACCAGTCGAGTCTAGGGTGTATTTTTTATATTTCGTTGACAGTTTAGCATTATACGAGCAGCAGCATAATGGCCGATAAAATGGATATGTCTCTAGACGACATTATCAAGCAGAACAGGCAGCAGAGAGGTGGAGGCCGCGGTGGTGGAAGAGGCCGAGGCCGCGGAGGCTCCGGCGGCGGACGAGGAGGCCCCGGGCGTCTCGGAGTCAGCGGCGGAGGGTTTGGAGGCCGAGGAGGATCCGGGCCCATGAGGAGCCGACAGAACCTGAGCCGCGCTAGAGGCAGACCAACGCCTTACAGCAGGGTAAATTAAGAGGAATGGGCAGAAAAAAGGAGCAAACCGTCGGCAGACCTGAAAATGCCTGGTTAACGTCCTTCTATTCTCCATAGCTAGCCAGCGTGCTAGTAAAGCGAATAAAATGTTCGCTCTAACCGCCGAGTGTCCCTCGCGGATGCTCTATGGTTTGCGGTTAATGGCATTAATGGAAGTTTATTGCATAGTGTGTCCCTTCTTCCCACAACCCGTATGTGTTACATCATTTTTTTTCCAAGAGGAGGCCCGTTGGAAGAGCGAACGTGTTGGTCACATTAGGCTAACTAGCTCAAGTTGGATCAGGAAGGCCTCGGCGACGCCATTTTGAATCCAGTATTTTTTTTTTTTTTTTTTTTTTAAATTAGAGCTAGTCGTCCAGGGTTTTTAACGGCTTTCCACTCCAACTGTCAGAATGACGGTGAAGGGAAACCACATCATCGAGAAAATTCACCCTCAAATGATTTTTTCCCACCACTTTTTGTCCGTGTACCGGTGCAGCGTCCAGGCGGCTTTTGTTCGAAGGTGGTCGGTGGGTTTCACAACAAGGCCTGTTTGTGTGGCTGTTACTTGTGGATGGATCAGTGGACTTCTACCCCCTGATAAGTGTTCATTTGAGGCACGCCCTTCACTCCTTAAGTGTGAATGAGTTTAGACGAGCCCAAACAAAGCCCCACACAAAATGGCGTGGTTTCAAAATGGACGCACAGATAATCCACGCTCTCGTAGAGGAGATGGTAGGCCCTTATCTAGTTTTCTTTTCCAAACCATCCACCCCCTCATCTTATGGACACTCCCCCTTCATGATAGCCCTTTTCGTGGCTTGGTAAAGAACTTTTGATCGTGCCAGGAAACGCGGTGCAACGCTGGAGGCAACACTGCTTCAGATGGCGACCCCCTGTGTGCCCCAAGGATTACATCTGGAGAGCCTTTGGTGGAGGCGCAGATGGCAAGAGAACAATGGGCAACATTGGTAGCTAGCCGGGGTGGGCACGGTGTTCATGGGTTAGCATAGACATTGTGGGTGGATCATTGAGTAAATGTATACAGTCTCAGCATATGTCGCTAGACCTCATTTTTTAAATTGTATACATTATAGAAGTGTTGTACAACACATTTCCTTGCTGTTATTGTTGTATTTTGTCCCGTGTATGTCCTGTCTGAACTGATTCACTTGCTTGTAGTGATGGGGTGGGCAGGGAACATTTGGGGATCCTCTTGGGGGGGAGGGGGGGGCTGAGCACCCTGTTGGAAGTGGAGCCCCTGCTTGCCCCAACACCCAGCCGTGTGGACTCTGTGAGTGACAGAGGCAAGGGATCCTGAAGTCAGCAGGTTCGTTCTCTTTCATCTGTTGCAGCCCAAACAGCTTCCAGATAAGTGGCAGCATGACATGTATGACAACGGCTTCAGTGGCTTCAGTGGTCCTGCTGGAGGTGGCGGAGGAGGAGGAGGTGTGGAAACTGGAGGGAAGCTCCTTGTCTCCAATCTGGATTTTGGGGTCTCGGATGCAGACATTCAGGTACTTGGGATTTTTTTTAATTTTTTTTTTTACTTTTTCCATTTATTTTTGTTAGTGGAGCATATTTGCTACCACGTGTGCATGATTTTAAATGGATGGGACAAAGGAATGGCTACTCAAGGCATCCTCACTTTTTTTCAGGAACTTTTTGCAGAATTTGGGACTCTGAAAAAGGCTGCAGTTCATTACGACAGATCGGGGAGAAGCCTGGGAACAGCAGATGTCCACTTTGAAAGGCGGACAGATGCCCACAAGGCCATGAAACAGTACAATGGCATCCCGCTTGATGGTATGTCTCAAACTCAAATCATATGCTTTGTATTATGGCTGCACAAATATTTTTGTTTTTATCATATTGCTGACCGTTTCAGCACTACTGCCCTTACATTGTGAGGTTCATGGTGTCTTTGTTACTTTAGGGCGGCCTATGAACATACAGCTCGTCACGTCACAGATCGACACACAGAGGCGGCCTATGCAGGGGTGAGTGCGCTCGTCTGTTGTTAAAGCAACTTGACTGTAAACCGCTGTGGACACCTTGTGTGATGGGAACTGTTGTATCAGTCTAAACAGAGGTGGTGGAGGAGGCATGAACAGAGGCCGCGGGGGCGGCTTCAGAGGCATGCAGAGAGGCCGCGGAGGACGTGGTGCAGGCGGTGTCGGGGGAAGAGGTCGGGGTGGTCGCGGTGGTACCAGCAAACAGCCTCTGTCGGCAGAGGAACTCGATGCTCAGTTAGACGCCTACAATGCCAGGGTACGTTCAGCAGTCCATGAAATGCCTCTTGTCAATTTAATAAAACAGCGGTCTTAATTGATTCTTTTGTTTTTGTTTCCAGATGGACACCACTTAAAGAATGAAGCTCCTCTGGTTTTGTAATATCTTACTGTCTGCACAGAAGGGTAGTTGTTACAAATGTGCAGCATATTTTACACATGGTTGTCTTCTGATGTGTTTGAAATTATTGTTCCAACCTCTTCTTTTAAATGCCCGACATGTTTTTTACCAGTACTTTTTGTTTTTTCTCTTCCTGACTAAAATGGTTTTGGCTGTAGGTTCATGTGGATTGGGGTTTTCCCAGTTCGTTCTTCTACCATGTAGTTAATGCCGCTTGTAATAAAACCTACAGTGCATATTAACCAAATACTGTCTCTGTTTCAATGTCTAAATCTTTGTCAGTTGTTTTTCAAATGCTGTTAAATTCAAAGACTCTTTCCAGTTTCATTGTGCTGAATTTAAAAGGGTGATTTACACTTGTGTGTTTTTTTTTTTTTTTTTGTGATTACATTTGGTAACAATATGCATGAAATCAAGCTTTCCATTTGATCTTAAGCCTCAATGTGAAGAACAGGATACATTTGCCTGTTTGTTTTTTGATCGTTTGGAATAAACATTTGTAATGTTTTTACAACAAATTTTGGAATCTACAATTCCTCAATAGATATTTTGATGAAACTAGCACAGGGTCAGCTTTTTACCCAAGACACCCAATGAAATACTGTTAAAGCAATAAAGTAACTGCTGGTTGTATCTAAGTCTATATTGCTTTACTTGAAATGGGGAATTTCCAACAGCTGAGCATTGTAGCGATGAAACTGCTTTTATAACACCATTCACGCTTTAAATGTCTACCTCATCCTCACCACTAGATGTCGTCATGATATGAGCTGAATCCTGTTGTGGTCCTCCTCGGTGGATAAAGGACTTCTGCTGTTGCCTAAAGACTGAATGTCAGCTCAAGGAGTGAGAGATATTGAGGTGGAAGTGAAATGAAAAGTGTAGGTCTGAGCGTGTCTGTGCATCACATCTCTGCGTATCCACACGTGTCTTTGACGCAACTTTTCCGGAGGGGTGTCTGAAGACATGAAGGCACCACTGTTTAAATCAACAAATACTGTTTCCGGTTACGTTTTCATGATTGAAACTTAAAGCTTTTTATATTTGATACGGAAAGCATCATTAGTTTGTATTTGTGTCGGCACATCATCACACAGTGGTTTTATTTACGGGTGAGTGAACACAATAACCGGAACACCTGACTTTAGCCCTAAAGTATTAAGATATTGACTTTAGTGACATAATACCTCAATGTAAAAATAATAGTTAAAAGTCCAGCTTTACATTTCTTAAAATGTCAAGTTAATTATTTAGACTACTTTCATTGCGTGTACGTTGAGTACAGACTTTAAAATATGCTTTTATTTTGAAGGCAGTACACCGGATGTTGTCTCACCTTAAAAGCGGGAAGTGGCTTCAATTTTCTTCCACCGCTTCACTTCACTCCCTCGCGCCACCATCGACAGGAGGCTGTCACAGAGTACCGGCGATTTACAACGGTAAGAGTCGGTTAAACACGTGCTAAACTCTTCTGATAACTAGTTGTAACCGAGCGGACGCGTGTTTGGACGGTTAGCAAACATGTCCGAGGAACTTTGGTGTAGTTAGAAAGTTTTTCTGCACCTGATAAGGAAGTCATTATAAGTTATTCGGCGGAAGTAGTTCGTTTCCGGGTGTTGACCGTTAGGTAACGATCCTCCATTGCATCTAATTGTTCACAATACCTCACACACGATGAGTGGATGCATTCACTAGTCGACCAAAAAAAGTGCATTCAGGGGAGTATTTTTAATCTACTTTCGCGTGCGACTCCTCTGTCATGTGGCTCATACGGAACATTTTCTCCCACTTCCTGGAACGAATGCTTTACTCTTTTAATTTGAGTTGGCCTGCAGGGCTCACACCTTAAACCAGCCACCGTTTAAAGGCTTTCCTAGCATGCACGTAGATTACATCTGCTGAGATCAAGTGTGCTTCAGGTGACAGTCCTCTTTATGTACTTTGGTGTTGAGTTGTGTGCTCAGCTGAATGACTGATACGTGGTTTCTTAAATAGCCTCCCTTTTCCTTCCTACATGGCCTGGAAGATTTTTTTTTTTTTTCCCTCTCTCTCTTTCAGGACTTTGATAACTTTCAGGTAACACATTTCTGTCTCAGCCTTTTTTAATTTGCTTCGTTTCTACCCGAGGACGTGCAGCCCTGCAGCGGAGGCCGGATGTCTCATTTTCTCTGGTTTGACCTGGTTGATCTTGAGTTAGGCTCGAGGAGCTATAATCAACCACAGAAGAAGATTTTCATTCAAGGTGTTCAGTGTAACAAGCTTAAACAGTGTACGGGTCAAAACCACAGACCTTACCTGTAAAATGATGAGTATTGAGTTGTATTTAGAAAGTAAAGGTGTGTTCTTCCTGTGTCTGATACGCAATATCTGCTGTTAAAAGCTTCACTAACACTACCCGTTATTTAGTTTGTCTACTTGATCTCATTCTACAGTATTGTGGGAACCGATGCAATGCAGCTTTCAGAAGCACGTCCTCTCGATGACGGCCTGTAACCCCTCCGTTGGTTGAATTTGTGTGTTTGTACCACCTGTAATGCCGGGTTGTTGCCACCCTTGAGGTAAACCGTCATACCTATTGTAGTTCTTCATCACGTAGAGGCCATCAGGAATCAAACCCCACTCTGTTAATGTGCCCCGACCTTTGCGTTGGCACCTTGTCGATCCCATTCACTGGCAGCTTCCTTGTGCTGCACGCAGGGATTTCTCGCCGGCTATTTTTAAAGCTTCCTATTTGTTCTGGTTCTTCCTGGGATAGAATGTTTTCTTTACTTCTCTCACTGCCGCCTCTCTCCGGGGCTCATTCTTTGTGGTCAGTCTTCTGGGCTCTTTGGTCCAATAGCCTTTACACTTAATCAATAATCACAAGCTCATAACCGGTTCTCCGTACTGTTCCTTATCTTATTTCCATTTGTTTTACCCTCACCCCCGTGTTGTTTTCTGTTGAGGTTGATTTCCTCTGCATTGCCTCAGCACTGCCTTAAGCTCTTGCTGTAACACTTCCTCAAAGCTTTGGTATGCGTTGCACTGCACCCTCGACTTGTTAATACAGCGTGAATTGTATCTCCTCACATAACCTGTAGCCAGGGCCCCTTCTTTAATATTAATATCATTACAGCATATTGGGGTGGGTTAGCCACACAGGTGGAAAGTTAGTGAGAGGAGCTGTGCTTCAGATTCAAACTGTGCGGTTTAGCACGCAAAAGGAAATGAATCGGTTATCTCGCCTGAAAAAGGAAGTCTACAGTAGTTTCTCTACAGACGAGCCTGCAAGGCACGCTTGCATGAACTAAAAGACTGCTGCTGCTACTTAACTTAAAATCTAAATCACCACAAAGGTGGTGGTGCTGGGAAAAGCAAATCTTGTGCTGCTCTTCATGCAAGCGTGGCACCATAATATCAGCTGATATACAGCTACTTCTGCTCAATGTATGCATGAACAATAGTTTGACTGAAGGGGTGCTTTGAAGGCGTGTCCAAAACGACATGGAGGTTGATGCATTTACTGCATCGACGCATGGCTGAAGCCTGTACTGATTTATAAGAACTGTGCAGAGTCGGTTATTCACAACATCCCGTGGAGGGCGAATGGGACCAACATGATTTTTCTTTTCCTCCTATAATTGATCCGCTTTTATTAAAGCATCGTGATGAGGATATGTTGAAGTGGAGAACAAAAGGGCCAAACGCAAAGGTCTACGGCAGACTACACGAGATCAAAGCAGCCGTAGATCTGTGAGTGACGTCTAAAGGTCGCTTCACAACGGTTGATCATTCTCAGTTACTTTTATTGACGCAACATTCATATTCTATCGTTGTGGTCTTTGCAACATTTTATTAGATTATTAATCATCTTCTGTAAGACTTTAACATCCCAAATTCTACTGCGGACACACTACAAAGCTCTTGTTGGGTTTCATGTGTTTCTGATGTCTGGCTGCCTGCTGAGTTATCACCTTTAGCCACATTGTTGTTCCTCTCTGAAGACCAGTAGTCCACTGTGTGATCCATGGATATGGAGCCCAGAGGATTACATCAAACGACATACATGAAGATGTAACTCAAAAACTGTCTCGTCACGATAGATTTATTTATTGTAGGAGAAACATCACGTTTAACGGTTTTCACAATTACTTATCTGACTTATAATTTTAGTATATTCCCAATAAAGCTAATTAACTAAAATATTTATCAGCAACTATAGCCAGTATAACCACTGCTTTACTACTTAAAAAATAATGTATTGTGGTTAATAAGTTATGGCTGCACAGAGGGAGACATTGAGCTCGTTGATCTTCAGTAACGTTTGACTCCTGTCAAAGAGAATCCTCTTGATGTGTCACCAGTTGACACCTCCCAGCCACTTCCTCTCCTGTCCCTGAATACCTCATTAGCCGTAATCCCACTTTCTATAATCTCACAGCTCAGCGGTGTTGCTAAGGAACAGCCCTAATTTGAAGCCTCCTGTGTTTGTAAAGCGGTGCTGCTTATCCCCGCCAAGCCCGCCGATTATCCTCCTGCAGCACAGAGCTGTGACGGTGAGGACACCGAGGTGAGCGGGTTCAATGGCATCTCCAGCGTTTGTTAGCGTGATCTCATGACCGGAGGGTGTCTTCCCAGCAGGCTGAACAATCACCCTCTCATATTTGTTTATAGCCAGTTAACCAGAGGCTGTGCATCATTGTGAGGGCGATGATGTCACTATTGTTTAAACTAACCCATTCACTCAGTGCATGGGTCTTTAATTTGCTCATTCAACTATTTTATAGTCCTGTCAAGATGTCATCTGAGTGATGTGACTGTGTGGAAGAATGAAGGGAAGCTGCACTGGTTTATTCACACTAGGCAATCTTTTGTACTTTTTTTCTTTTACTTAAATCCAGTAGTGTTGCAACTACTGTTTTTTTTTTATTGATGAATCTATTTATTACTCTTATTATTATCGACATTTACTCTTGAAGGAATGAGAGCAGAATTAAAACCTGATGAATAAATAAACTAATATGTTAATTAAAGCATGTTAGGTTATGTTAGCAGCACTATAGGACCCAGTCCGTATAGTGCAGCTCTCTACCCACGGTGTGTCTAAAAGGACTCATCACTTCCTCCTCTGTGACTGCAACATAGAGGAGAGGAAGTGAGAAAAACAACCTGTTGGGATTCTTCAAGAGTGACACGACACCATCGTTGTGTTTCCTGCTCTTGGTTATCACAGAACACTCCCACACAGCTGAACACCTACTGAGGAATTTGTGTTTCTTTTTGGGAGCCCGGAGGCCTTGTTTGGTAACCGTTGCTGTGTTCTGACTTCCTGCTTGGCTAACACCCAACAGTATACAACGGGCACAATAGAACAGAGCAGGGCGTCAGACCGGCAGAGCGACAAACGGTCATTGTGCCCGTTTGTCTTTGTCTGAGCGGTGTGATTTATTGTGGTTCAGGTTGTAAACAGTGAGTCGGGGGATTACGTTCATCAAGTACCACCTCTGCCCAGCGAGTAAAGACTGCGTTTGCGTTTTTCTGATTTGTTAGCCCGTCTCTGTTGATTCATGACCTTTAACTCTCACTTTGACACTGATTTGCAACAGCAAACAAACGTTAATGATTATTTAGAGACAGTTTGTCACCTTATGTCTTCCTTCGTTTTAGGGTAGTTGGTTTTTCTGTTGACATTCAAGCATCGATCTTTACGGGTCTTTTTTAACCCTTTTATCGTAACTTAAAGGAGCAATATATGACATTTAGAGCATTACTATAGAAGCAAACAACTATTCATGTAAATGTATATTGGAGTAATGTTGACCTGAGCAGAGCATGAAGGCACTCTCTTTTTGTTAAGCCATGTTGAGAGCTCCCAATCTCGTATCTTGCACCATTTTAAGGATACTTAAAGTAATAAATCCTCTTCTACAGTTTGTCGGCTCTGTTTCCTGTTTGGCTGAATCTCTGAAATACAGGAAGTTGTGTTGTTTCGACACATAAATGTTGAAAGAACACACCACCCTGAATCAGGAAATGAAAACTATCGACAAACATAGTGTGTGTGTGTGTGTGGTCACTTGTCTGGTCTGCAGGGAGAACAAGTGAACGGACCACACAGAACATCATCCAGCTAGCTGCCTGTGGGCTTCTGCAGGTGTTGATCATCGTATATTTCTGCGCCCAGCATATGTGCACCAGATGTTTGATTTTTTTTTCTTTTTTTTTTTCTGCTGCTTTTTGTGAGCAACGTTTGCGTTTCGTAGCACCTCGATGATCTCACTTTGTTGTGCCATTTCCTGCTCAGGATCAGCATCCTCTCCTCTAATCCGGAGTGACTGGTGGAGCCGTGCAGCCGGGTGTAGAGCTCCCCATTAGTGCACGAGTGAGGGAGAAGCCTTTAGATAATCATCAGCTTCATAATAAAAGCGGCTCCACAGCCGAGTAGCCTGAGTCTGTGCTAGTGTGAACGTTTACGTCTGTGCTTGTGTCTCAGCTTACACTAATGAACAAAAACGCCTCGTCTCATGACAAGAATAATGATGAAGGTGCTCGTGATGATCCACACAGAGCGTGTTGTGCTCTCTGCATAAAAAGGAACTCGGTTGTCACCTTTTAACCTAATGGTGTTTGTTTCTACAGGAACTGCTGCTTTACATTGCTAAGGTCAAAGTTCAGAGGTTTTCCTCTGGATAAGTAATCTGTAATGATCATCTAGCAGCCGGATGTCTTAACAATGTGCTGCCTTGCTCCACTCGTAGATCCAACGTCATTAAAGCAAAGTAAAGAGTCCGTGTGGAGTCCTGCCGTCTGTCCGTGTTACTCGATCGCCCCGTCCTCTAACCGCTCTGCTGTCTCTCTCTGGCTGCGATTAGCTCAACATGGCAGAACAGGAACCGACACCGGAGCAGCTGGAAGCGCTGGCAGCAGCCAACGCAGAGTCTGAGAACAGAGTCAACTACAAAGCTCCTGCTCAGAAGAGCTTACAGGAGATCCAGCAGCAGGACCAGGACGACGAAAGCCTGCGCAAGTACAAGGAGGCGCTGCTGGGCAAATGTGCTGCCGTCGCAGGTTAGTGATATGTGCGTGCGTGCGTGTGCGTGCACCGTTGTGTATTCAGTATTTCTCTCGGGTGCTATGACTTGATGATTGGTCTTCTGGTCGTGATTTCTTACTCGGTGACTCTTCTCTCGCTCAGATCCCAAAGTCCCAAACGTTCAGGTGACTCGAATGACTCTGCTGTGCGATACGGCTCCGCAGCCATTGGTCCTTGACCTGCAGGGTGAGTAGAGCGATGCGTGTGATATAGAAGTATAAACTGATGTTTTATAGTTGACCACGTTTAGGCAGCAGGCGCACTGGAAGGATTAGCTCACAGTGACATTAATTATGAACAGTAATCACTCCCAAATATGCATTAAATGGCCAGCTGGTTCATTAGCCTGCTAATTGGTAATGAGAAGATTCCCTCGTTAGTGGGAGCCATTTCCTGTTGGCTCTCCCTCAGTGGTCAGATGAGCATCAACAGAGCCGGGCTCACTGAGCCACCTGGTGGACGGTTTAGTGACTACAGGGTGATGACATGTCTAAATACAACTTCAGAATGTAATTCTTCTCTCTCTGGAAAAAGCAAAGCATAAAATCCCTTCTTGTTTATGAACCTTTTAGTTTATAAGTTTAGCATTCTGCCTTCACACTGCTGTGTTGCGTTCCATCCCAGGAGACTTGGACAACTTGAAGAAGAACCCGTTTGTGCTGAAGGAGGGAATCGAATACAGAATAAAGATCAACTTCAAGGTGAGAGAGTCTGGTGTTTGTCTGTCGTCGCTGTCAGCGAGCGGCCTTTGTCGTGGGAGACTGTTCAGCAGGATGTGATGCATGTCGTCTTTTTGCAGGTCAACAAGGATATCGTGTCGGGCCTGAAGTACACCCAGCAAACATTCAGGAAAGGAATCAAACGTAAGTTATTTCATTCAGTCGCTGCTCATCTTTTAGGGAGGTTTTGAAATGCCATGTAAAGTAGCCTTCTCTTGCATAAAGGACTAATTTAACATTTTGGGAAATACGCTTACTAACAAGATCCATAACAATTCATGTCTGTACAGTAAATATAAAACCATAGCCAAAAGCTGCTTAGCTTAGCTCGTAGCATATTCCACAAAATTACCTTTTCAAAGTTTAAACAGGCCAAATAACCCGGCTGTCCTGTTGGAATGATAACGCTGAAGTTCGTTTGCTTTATTCTCAGTGAACACGTTGGTAATAAGCAACTTATTAATCTCTTCTGTGCAGTTGACAAGTCTGACTACATGGTCGGCAGCTACGGGCCCAGAGCGAGCGAGGAGTACGAGTTCCTCACCACCGTGGAGGAGTCGCCCAAAGGGCTGCTGGCCCGCGGCACCTACAACATCAAGTCCAAGTTCACCGATGACGACGAGCACGACCACCTCTCCTGGGAATGGTTCCTCGCCATCAAGAAGGATTGGACAAATTGATTCCCCCTCAGCGACGCCCTTTGTCCCTCCTTTCTTCTTCTCGCTGTCGTTCCGTTATTCCCGTCTGGAGTTTGTATTGATTTTCAGCTTCTGCTCTCTCCGTCCATCGACGACTCTGTTTCTAAATTCCAATCACTTCATCATTCCTCCCTTCGTAGCGCTTCTTGTTAAGTATCAAATCTTTAAAAATGGAGAAAGCAACAATGTGCACAGTACAGATTTTGCTGTTATGGTTTGTTTATAAAAGAAAAAATGGAAAGAAAAAAATTTTTTGGAAAAAATGTATACACTTAGTGATTCACTCGGCCCTTTAACCTTCTGTTCTTCTCTTTGGTTCTTTATTGTTCAGACTGTTTTGTACTCTTACCGTGATCTGCCTTAGAAAGCAGCCGCGCTGTATGAACGTATCCACTGTACGCTCACTTGGCAGCCATTGCTGGACACGGCTCTTAAACGCAGCCCCCCTCACGCCTTTCAGCACATTATTTGCACCAGGCTCTTGGTCAGAAACCAGGCCGCCTCTATTTAGCACCCTACACAGCCTGCTGGTAAACTAAATGTCCTGTGACCCCTCGTGACCCCTCGCTGTAGGTCAGCAGGGTATTCAGCAGCCATGTGGCCTTAAATAAAACCTTTAGAGATAGACGCCCTAATTGAGCCGTTTGCCTTCAGATTATATTTGCCAGACCATCATGTGAGCGTTTTTTAACAATACTTGTAAAACATGGACCTTTATCACCGTTTTATATCAGGTTTGAGGATTTGTAAAAGCCATCAGGGTGTCCTTTACAAACATCTAGTATTTGTAGCGTTCTAAATCTCAGTTTAATTAACTGTAAATATCCTGCTCGTTAAAGTCCGGGTTGTGCCGATAGCCTTCTGTCACCCAGGTTCCTCCCTCGACCCCGAGGCCGTGTTTCCATCAGATCGGAGTCAACCCGCTCACCTCGTGTTACTCGAGTTATAAATGAGCCACGCTGACTGTGCCTCCAGTCTCTCTCAACCACACGCTGCTCCTGCTGACTCAGCGGCACTTTGATCATCAGTGATGTGCAATGTCGTCTGAACCAGAAACATCGGTCCCTAACCAGACCTCCAAGTGTTCTGTTTTTATATTCACTCCAGACGTATGGGAAAGAATCTGCTTGTCAGACTGATGTTCTGGGTGTGTTGGGTTTGACTGAACGTGTGCCACTTGTATCACCTACAGTTTACTGATCGCCTGTGTTCACATTAAAGTGTTCAGACTCGGCCCGCTTGTGTCCTTTATTACGCCGAGGCTTTATGTTTTCGGGTCGTCCGTCTCATTCTTTGTCTTGAACGCGACATCTCAGGAGGACATTTCTTCTTCTCTTGGATTCAAAGATGACGTGATGAGTCCTGGGGTCAATTCACGACCATAACTCAAGAATAAGTGCTAATAATTCTGGCTTCTTCTTACAGGTTAAAATGTTGAAGTGACGCCATTTCTGACAGACATGTGAACGGCTACTTCACTTTTACAACCACCCGTCTTCTAGTTGAACCCGCTGTAGGATTTGATTTGTTGCCTCCCCGAGCGTTTAACAGAAGAACGTGGTTTATACATTTCTCATTTTAATCAACAGAAGACATAAATGGCCTCCGACAAGAGCAGCTTTTACAATGTGGCACAGCGTCGAGCTGATTATGTCATGTCTGAAGTTATCAAACGAATCCCTGAATCACTCCGTGGCATGTAATGCATGCTGTAAAAACTCACCTTCACCAGATGAGTTACAATAAACCATGTAAACAAATAACCATCAAACACTTACTCACGGTACAGTTTGGCAGCTGTCTCACCGTTTCATCTTAAAGCTCACTCGAGCTCGTCAAACACTTGTGATTTTAGTTTCAACCGGCTTCTAAAAACCTTTTTAGCACTTAGTGTTTATGAGTCGGATACATGCTTCAAATGAGTAGTTTAAAAACAAGTGGCTGCTTTGTTCTTTTGATTAATTATTTGGCTTGTTTTAAATAAATAAAAATTAAATCATTTCTGCATCAGTTAATCTCAATTACAAATACTACATCACACACTAGACTGTCCTCAGACAGAAACTAAACTAATTATTTCATCAGTTATGGTCACTCAGGAAGAAAAAAAAAGGTATTTCATCCACATCAGAATCCTCCACAGAGGCAAGTTTACCATTTTCATACAGCTTGAGATTAATCAGCCATCCACTGCTAACATCATTAATCACCCGACTACAGGCATCCACCCGTCATGGTCAAATGTAAGACGAGAAGTCATTAAATACATCATGTGCAGTCACTGTTAGTAGACTCAGTAGCTCATTTGTGACTCTTCTTGCTCTTGGTGGAGTTCAAGTCGCTCTTGGTCTTCTGCAGGCGGGAGAAGATCTCTTTGAACAGGGCCTTGTACTCCGGCGTGTTCTGGCTGAGACGTTTGTCCACCTGCTCCACCTGCCTGCTGATCCCCTCCAGGGCCTCCGGGGTGGAGGGCGCTTGTGGGGGCGTGGGAGGGGCGGCGACGACGACTGCGACTGCCCCCGATGTCGAAGGCCCCGCGCAGACCATGCTGTACTCCTTCATGGAGGGGTCCCTGGAGACCGGCCGCGAGGTCTGCACCCCGGCGTGGCACAAGCTCTCCTCGTGACGTCGGCACTTCCCCAGCAGCCCTTCGTACTTCTCCAGCAGCGCGTGGTACTGCTCGTCCACCTCACGCAGGATGGACATGCCGCGCTTGCGCACGCCGTTGGCGTGGATGGCGTAGCTGCCCTGACGCCTGCCAGAGGCGTCGCGGGCCGAGATGGCGTTCAGAGCTGTGTCGCTGCAGCTTTTCCTCACCGGGCCCCCCTGCTGCCCCGTGGCCCCTTGCTCTCCAGCAGCTCCTTCACCTCCCTCCTCCAGCCCCAGGCCCTCCTCCGGGGTGTCCGTCTCGGGGCCGTTGCTGAGCAGCGTCTCTAGGCCATCTTCCATGCCCCCGATCAGACACACCCTGGACTTCCTCAGCTGCTGCATCTCCTGGAGCTCCGCCTCGAGCTCTTGAACCCGCAGCTGGCAGCCCTCCGCCCCTAAGAGACGCTGTTCCAGGCGCTCGAACTCCTGCAGCACGGCGGCGCACTCCCGCTCGGCGCCCTCTCGCTGGGACCGCTCCGTGGCCACCGCCGAGCGCAGGGAGGAGACGATGTCCGTCAGGCGCTCGTGCTCCTCGTCCACCGGTCGCGTCTCAGCCAGGTCCACGCTGCCCGGATTGGCCAACAGGAAACCATCTTCATACCTGATGTAAAGTAGTCAACAAGTTGTGCTTAAAAAAAACTGCACAATCATGTAATCGGTGCAATTTCTATAGTGAGGTATGATGTCAAAAGTTACTCTATTTTGACCAAATATGTAATCACTGAGTTTTGCCTTTGCAGGGCAGTTAGGTCTGATAACTGTTGATTTACTTTAAATCAACCCAGCAGGTGTCCTGCAGAATAATCAGATCATCTGTGTTGCAGCAGCACCACACACACACACATCTGTGTTGCATCAGCACCACACACACACACATCTGTGTTGCATCAGCACCACACACACACACATCTGTGTTGCAGCAGCACCACACACACACATCTGTGTTGCAGCAGCACCACACACACATCTGTGTTGCAGCAGCATCATACACATCTGTGTTGCAGCAGCATCATACACATCTGTGTTGCAGCAGCATCATACACATCTGTGTTGCAGCAGCACCATACACATCTGTGTTGCAGCAGCACCACACACATCTGTGTTGTAGCAGCACCACACACATCTGTGTTGTAGCAGCATCACACACATCTGTGTTGCAGCAGCATCATACACATCTGTGTTGTAGCAGCACCACACACATCTGTGTTGTAGCAGC